CACATCTAGAACGTTTACATATCGTATCTTCAGGTCATTGTCAAGCCTTTCAACCACTCCTGGAAGTGGGCGCCGGCCGTTCACCTTTTCTTATCACTGCAATACCCCAGTTGCTCTCCTGTCTTACGATTGAAACAGCGAGGCTTATTGGCCTTTCCAATGAACAATGGTTTGAGCTTTTCTGACCCATCTGTGTTGGCAGCAATCGCAACAGTGATGCAATTCTATGATGCAGAAGGGAGTCTAGTCAACTTTTTTATTCAGGAGACCATGATTATATGCAAACAAACTTACTTTGTCTTGTCTACGCCCCTCAATCTGCTGCTGTGCAATGGTCTTTTCTAGAACCATGGAATGAATGCATCCCCGCAGACATCAACACCCATGTAAAGTACGTTGCTAGCATCCATACCAGCTTCATCCGTGTTAAGCACATCCTTCAGCTCAAACCGAGCAATGGCTGCTTAAAGCGCTAAAAGGCAGCATCGACTACTGCCTGATCTGCTGCACCACTCTCACCACAGATTCTGATGCAACGCACCTTATTCCTCTTTTAAAAGTGTTGCAGCCACCCATTTGTATATTTACTTGCATCCTCGCGCAAGCCAAGTCGGTCAGCAAAGACTCTTGCTTCTGTCTTGATGAGATCCCCAGTGATGGCTACATGCCTTGTCTGGCATTGAAGCACCCATGTTGCAAGGCTTCGTCGAGCTGCGAGTGATGTGCAACGCGGCGCCTATCGGTCGAAACTCAACATGTGTCATGGCCTTGAGCACTCAACTCTTTTTGAGGATGTTGCTTATGGCAGATTGAGTGATTTCGACGCCAAACTTCCGAGTAGCCCATGTCGCAAGCGTACTTTGACTCATCCACTGATTTTTGGCCTTTTTATTGCAGACCTTAAGCCTTTGCGCATTTGTTAAACGTTCTGGCGGCATGTTTATTGTAAATGTAACTTTTTAATGCAGTTCACCTCCTCAAAAAAAAATTAAAAAAACCTGGTTAACTAATAACCTCGACTAACTCAAAGACATTTCTCCACCGTATTTAGTAGTTATCCGAGGGACGACTGTATATCAATATCGAATTGGTCTGCTGTGACAATATGCATTTTGATCAGTAAACATCAAACAAACGAGGCAACGTTAGGTAACCCACAGTTCTTTGGACGGGATTCATGGAATTGGAGCCACCACGCGATAACCACTGGGCTAATCTGACCTCGTTTTCTGCATGAGCAAATTGTAATACTTATCCATGTAAAATAGACATAGCCGCATCATCGTTCTCCGACAATACTGAGAGGCGTAACCTCAACGCTTCAAACTCGTTATTGATGCTTGTTGATCCTTGAAATTAAATTGGTCTTAAAATTCGCCACCTTGCGTACAAACGCAAGCATCGTGGCCTTCTATGCTCTCGTCAGCATATCTGGATCTGACAATTCGTGTTGATCTTTAATTTTCTTCTAGCACTTTCATGCGTTTTTGGTGGTGCCATATATCCTCGTGATTTATCCGACGAACCGGCGATGTCGGCTATCCACTTGTTCGTGCATGTTCTTAAGCATTGCACGCGTCCATAGGGCTTTTTGAGTGCAAAGGCTGATAGTCATACATTCAATCTTCGCTGAACTGAGTGCAAAGGTCCACAGGTACTTCTAGTTGGAGACCAATGGCGCGCCTGTAATCATGACCGTAAATCCTGAGACCAAACGTCTGTCAACAAAAAATGCTGCTCCAATCCAGATCTGAATACGCCTTAACCGCAATGTTACCACTACCTTGGTAGACAATACCGGTTAATAGTGTACTCTTCAGGTAGCGTATCACGCGAATAGCGGAATTATAGTGTTGCAGTCCGGAAATTTTCCGAAAACGTAACAGCATTGTTGTCACGTATAAAACATTCGGTCGAATACCAAACATTATTATAGCAGACACTCAATAAAGAATCGATATGATCCCGAGTGCATCACCAAACGACCATCTTCTGTTGTAGGCGACGACGGTGACGACAACGTCAATCTTATTGCGCACAGCTGTCGATATTCTTTGAATCTTATTGACTGAATTGTCTAATCCTGTCGTCAACGTAGCAAATCTGCTTGATCATATGTGTTTTGATTAACTTTTGCGGTTAATATACATGCACAAATAAGCTTCGCCTTGCCAACTCCTTCATCTTGAATATATTTTCAAGCGCTTCTCGACTTTAATGACCTCCCCGCTTGTTTTTCTGTGACAATCATGTCATCCACTTATAGTCCAGCGTAAATTTAAAGTTTCAGTAATTGCCTGACTGGTCCCCTCCGCAGCCTTTAAAGCAATTGTCTACAAAGCACGATGTATTGTCATGTTCAGGCACTTACTGCTTGTTTTAACCCATATACAGGCTGTTTTAAATTGACAAATGTATCCCTGAGCATTTGTCGACACCCAGTGGAACTTCATTCAACGTTGTCGGTCAGCATACTGATCCATTTGGCAGTCACATTTGGCACACACTGCATAAACCATCCGAAGACCAAGCTTGTCATACTTTACTTAGAACACTTCGCGTCAAGTCGAGCCTTGTACGACACAACAGTGTCATTTTGATCACGCTTCATGGCTATGATTCATCTTTATCTAATTGTACGATCGTTCTTCCATCTTGGCATTGATATTCATGTTTGATTCTGCTAATGCTCACAATTGTCCATTCCGACGTCAGTGACTGGTTCTTCAACAGTTTCCATAGGTGTGGCTGTCGATTTTCTTGATCTTAAGCATCGTCATCATCATTTGTCTTTCATAATTGCAATGGTCGCTTCCATCTGTACCACATACGCGTCGTAATTTCCGCCTAGTCCACGATCATTCAATCTCATAAAGCGGGTTAAAGCTTGCCGTTATCCAAGACAAACACCTGATAATCCTTGACATGTTCCGCATTACCGCAAAACATTTTCTTAAAACTCTTGGGTTCGAACTTTGTTCTCTTTGCATCGTGACAAAAGCGCGATTTGGACACACGAAAGTGATAGATCCGAGGCGCTTCAGTTCAAAAGTCGACTCATGTGGTTTGATATCAAAATGGACTGTATTCGTCGAGCGACATATCAAATCATCTGTTGTTTTTACGGCTTTCTTCCGCTACTCACTTAAAAAAAATTGAATAAAGCAAATTAGACCACATTTATCAATGTAGTCCTGGTCATGCGCTCCACCATCTCATTTTTTGTATATGAAAGGGAATGTTGGAGAACGATGCCGTTTCAACGACACATATCTAACATCGTTGCGCTCACTGATTCTGTTTCGTTGTCGGAGTTCAAGTGTTTGATCCCCCGTAGCTTTTTGTAAAGAGTGTGCAAATCCTTGAACCTGTCAGATACTTCATTCTTACATTGAAAGAGGCGGTAGTAAGAATTGGACAAGTATAAAAGAATACTTTTGGTGCAATCTTCCATCTAAAGTTTTTGTATCAATGTGCAACATGACTTATCGCGTATATTTCTATCGTCCTTTATGACATCTAAGTACTTATGCTGAGAAATAACTTTCACTCATATTAATATTTTATGGCTGTAACCTTAAAAAATAGATGTCTAAAAGAATAATGCGACAGCTAACTACATATTTTTCGTGACTTGGGTCCAAAAGTAAGTATGCTCAAATCGGAATACCAAAGGTGTGATACAGTGCATTACATCAGCTGTTGGACTAATGCATTTACCCATACACAGGAAGCGGCTCCGCCACGTCCAGGCGCGCCACCTGGTATACGTATATACGTGTGTGTTTCCATGCGGACATACGAACTTGAAGTACGAAAGGTGTACATGTTATCCGAATAGCAGAATATCACTTGTACAATATTAATTGTTGTTGAGCGTTGACATGGTCTGACTCGAAACTCGCTAAGAATCAAATCTAAATGAACGTCTTGAGCAAGGTGCCACAGCAGACAGTCTAGTCAAGCAGCTTATTCAGATATTGCAATGAGTTGTTTTATGTCATTGCAGAGGTTCAGAGTTGCGTCTCTGACCCTGCACATCCATATTTATGCTTTTTATCAGGCTGGCCATGTTATACTTACGTTTGCACTGGTCATGCACATGTCTCTGACTACACGTTAGCATAATTTAAAGCTGCAAATTCGTTGAAAAGTCAGTAATATATTGTTGGATTACGCACATTGCTGCCATTTTGTATTCTGATCCCATTCTGTTTTGCCTAGATAATTTTAAGAGAAGGTAGTTTATGTTAGGTCCTCTGATAAATGTAGCCGGCATCTTCAATTCAGAATACCATATGACGGATGACTTGGTTTTTTAACCAGATCGTTGTTGAAGTTTCCGGATGTGTTGTCACAAAGAATCCATGCACAATAATTTCCAATCCTACAAATTCAGCAAGATGCAGTAAATGCTCACTGCATTATATATCGACCATGTCCTCGTCTCACGTCGCCATGCGTTTCTAATTAACTGAATCACCAACTCCGTCTCGAAAATATATTTACTATTTACGGACCGAAATTTGTGTTTTGTACCCGTACCCGGTACAGTCACTGAACATTCTTGTGAGTATTGTTCAAACTTCAAGTTAGGCATCTGTTCCGTTCTTGTCTCCCTCCTTCAACTAGTTCTGAAAAAAAAACTAGAATTTTTTATTCTTTTAATAGAAAAGTTAAGATAGTATCAGCTTTTAGAGACAAGGAAAGCATATGATATAATGCAAATTAGTCCTCGTCGTTGTTCACCAAGCAGACCAACGCTGATCATGCATTACAGCCGATCCCGCCTTGTATCCTACAGTAGATAGGAGGATCATGTGCTGGACGAGCCAGCACGCAGCAACCAGCTTGCGACGTCCCTCATTTTTCACTAAGACAAACCACGATATGACTTCTGAGCTAATTAGGGGTGACCAGCCTCCAAATCCCCTCGATCTCCAATTCGGCGATCAGATCATTCTTCTTCTTGCACCTTTAGTCCCAGACGGCTATCGTGAATGGATCGGCTGAGTATTGTACTCGCCTTCCTGGTCGTACTCGTCAGCCTAGTCAGCACAACGGCGTTTGACTGGACATTTTGGAAATCCCACAATGATGATGAAACACCTGCCTCGGTGGGAGGCGTCACTCAATTACCTCCTCCGATGACCGATACACCTAAGTCAAACTCTCCCTCAGTTAATGAGTTAGTACTTAATGCCACGAAAACAGGTTCATTTATAGATGTCTCTGCGATCACGATCAAGGCGAAGCTCGCAAAGGCCACGACTGCCGTCAGCGACGTCAAATCGACATACCGCAATTGGGTCGGGCCTCGGCCAATTTCCCCCGACGCCGCGTGCTACCGTGAGGTACATATCATGGACACATGTCCAACCAATTATAATCGCAACGAGCTTACCAACACATGTTGGGCTGAGTGCCCCATTTCCTATCCGGTCGAATGTGGATTTGAATGTATTCGTCAAAACGATGGGTGCGGGATGGAGCTACTTAACAAGGGAGGTGCAATTGCTAACACCGTCCTATCAATCGCTTTATTTGGTGCCGCAAATAAGTTGTGGATAATAGCTAAGAGTGTGATGCAGGCTATGGATTGCACGAATATGATGATTGGCACTATGCGTTCTATCATTCGTTACGTGCGAAATATCCAGACTACCGATCCGCAAGCTTCAATTGAGAAGATCCTTAATATCATGTACCAGTCCCACAACGTTGTAACGGATCTACCAATGGCCTACTTCTTGTGCATGGGTCTACCATTGCCACGAAAACTTGAAATATCGGGGCGGCTCCTATCGACAATGAACTGGATCCTCTTGAACGCCATCGCGTACAAAGATGATATTTTTTCCAGTTGGAGTAGATTTCGAGCCTTTTTGATCGGTGCCAACTTCACTGAAGCTGCCAACACGATTAACTCCACGGATATTGGTACACTCAGTGATGCTATGAAGTCGCGATCAACTTGTGGGTACGATCTCCGTGCGATGACTGACCGTACGTGGAATACTGTAGCCCAACTACGCGCAGATCACCCTGGTATCTCAGAAAGTGAATTGCGCTTAAAGATGCAGAATACACAGCTGATGACAACGGAAATCGCTGTTGTTACTAATAATTGCATGGAACAGCTTATTGAAGAGTCGGATGAAGCGACAGCATACATGACGCGTGAGAGAATTCGCACGGCATTTAGTGGCATGGTTAATGAGCTCATTTCGACAGGAAAAAGTAAAAATGGGTCGACAGAGGATGCAAAAGACGTCATGTACTTTGCCTTTAGCAAGGTACTCATCTCGCTCGCTGTGATGGGTATCGATTTGATTGGTGTCATGGGTACTATCGCAGCATTTCAGCAAAAAGTCTGTGGTCCAACCAATTTTATAGGTGAGATTGATGACGGCTCAGACCCCAAGACACTTGGGCTCACGACAATTGAGAGAGCATTTAAAAATAGTTCTATGATTTGGACACGTAAAGGCGATGGTGCTGTTATCGTCACCTTCGAGAGCGCAGACTCCAAGAACGTGTCAGTAAATATCAGGTCTGGTGGAGACAAGATTGATGAGCTTTTTATTCATGCAGGAAGTACTGTGCGATGGGAATCAACTGTCTCAGCTTTGGCCGGTAAAACGCTTTACTTTGATCGTTGGCGTGCAGGATTTCTTGGGATACCTGGTACAGGCGGTGGTTCACTTCTTTTGTGGATACCTCACGCATCTGAAGGCGGTCATTTAGAGGTCACAGCCAAGTTACAAGTGAGCTAAACTTAATTTAGCACCCCGTTAGAGCATATGTTCAGTAATTAAAAGACGTTAATAACAAATAAAGAGGTGATTGATTTCCATCCATTCAACAGAAACTATTCCGTGGCCAAACTTCGTTCAACGTTTCAGTGCACAAAGACAGCAATTATTCATTTTGAGACAGCATGCCAGCGCGAATAGTTTTTTATTGATCATCACGCATTTGCTTATACGTTTTCAAGCGTTATGGCGATGTTAGCTACGACAATGTAAGACATGATATCGATAAAGCAGAATTTTAGTTCGTTGTACACGATGACGATAGTAAATTGCTACTTTTGCTTTGATTTTGTGCTTCTGGTCTCAAATCAAAGAAAATCACCGATTGTATCAACTGCTCAGACCAGATTACCGACCGATATTTAAATCCTGCATGATAGGTCGGATTTGTAATTCTATATGCAGTTACAATACAAAGATTTAAAGAATTTAAATTTATTTTTACTTACAGATTGAAAGTTATTTCGCCGACCATTTTCTCCAGCAAATTCTCCCCGAAAATAGGCTTGGTATTTTATCATATAATCGAATCATACGTCGACTGGCTATTAATATGTGCGGAATCTGATCTCATATGTCAAAGTCGGAAAAAACATATGATTTACATATGTTCTTTCCTTCCATCCCTGCTAAATTGCTCCTCTTCAACTTACACAGGTCGACAAAGCAGCTGTCAAAATCAGTCATTTTAATGTCAGTAACATGAAACTTATGAACCAGAATCACTCCAGCTGTTATTACTGTCTCCCGCTTACAGTAGGATGAGCGGGGCGAAGGGCTGCTAGCTCATTTTACCGTATATATGGGGGTTTATTGATTCAGTAAAGCCCGACGAGTTTCTGGTCAAGCTTCAGCTGATTATTGGTCGCCATATTACTTCAATGGGTACGTATTACGTGTGCCGAACATGATGGAACAGGAAAGACATATCATTGTTATGTTGAGCTTATTCAGGTCGACTGCCAATTCTCGGCGAGCAAGGTTGTGATTAAGCACGTCGGTGGAAAATACAGCTCCTTTTTTTGTATCTGTAAATTTCTACATCTGGAGGTGTCAAATCAGCGCTCCGCAATGCAGTGTAGAGTTCGTGGACATTGATTTTACGGTCATAAATAATATATGTTTCCTAAGCTATCTAATGGCTCAAATAAAAAGTACTCCTTCCACATGTGAGCGAAACCATGCTACCTGCTATGTGATCAATGCGCTATTCATACAGCAATTGAAGCAGCAGGCGCTGTAGGAAAACGTGAACTCACCATTCCCTTGCGCGTAACTGAGCCTATTAAATAAGAGCGACTTACCAAATAATAGGGTGTCGCACTGAAACGTCTGATACAAGACCATGTCTTTATTTGTCAGACAAGTAGATTTATTACATGTTGGGCTATGGTGGCCAAGGCAAAACATGAACAGAGTCAAATTCATAACGGGTCTTTAGATATCGATGCGCTGGCGTGTAGTTAAGCTTGCGATATCCAGCTACTGCGTGTATGTATTGAAGTGAAACTTCAGTATTGCCTCGAATTCTGAAACCTGGCGAGAGTATCGCTGGGTATGGAAATTTTTTCATCTCAGAGCTATACAAATCAACCCCAGTGAGTCCGATTTGTGCATTAAATGCTAAATTTACAGCACAACGCGGACGTCAAGGTGAAAACCCATTTCCTCAAGCTCCTGCTACTTACAGCCTAACATGTCTGCATGAGTTAGCTGTAGTATTTTTTGGCCAAATCAGTTGATGTAGATCGCTTTGTTGGCAATGCGTACTCAAGTCGATCGCCTCATATAAGTGGTGAGCGCACCATGAATGCCTCTTCTCCAAGGCCGGTAAGGTCGATAGTGCGCCACGTTGCAAGCGGCCATGGCACCAGGTCAATATTGCTGATGTGGAGCCTCAACCTCGCGGAAATTTTTACACTACGGACAACCTGTCAGCTTATGGGACTAGTGCCAACCCTGGCGTGCCCGCCGGCTCTTTGAAAGCTAAAGTTTTAACGAAGTCACCTTTGTCAAAAGCTTGACGTTAAAGTAGGTACCAACACAGCGAGAAGCACCCTTGGTTGTGGTGGCACGCCAATCAATTTGAGAGTAGAGCTGTATGTTCGAGGCTGAGTGAGTCAGATCTCGATTTTTTTAATTTTTGACATCCCACTGTCTGGCCTAAGGCACTCCCAGCAATCTTGAGCATCGTTGCTGCTTTAGAGCAGCTACAGGGAATGATATATGTATTGCTTGGTATGCCATTAAAGAAACCCACGTTCAGCTTACTCGTACGAGCAAGTTGGATGAGTTTACATTCGCTTTGAGTCATTATGAGTAAAACATCATTTCTTTCACTTTGCTGAATGTGAATGATTCGATCTAGCGCGATTGTAACTTGATCTTATCATCGCAAACAATTTGCTGCCTCCCTTTGGCAGTGGCGTGTTGCTTTTTGTCTACCTAAGCCTTCAGTCATAACGTCACGCATAATGCTCAATTTCAGCGAAAAAATTGCTTATTTAGCATGTAGGTAAACTGATATCAGCAAGTCGTTTTTGATTGGCAGACCCTCTTCAATTAAGACGGATCCACTTTGTAGTGGGGTCGACGACTTACGATGTTTTTTCCAATCGTGAATGTGATACGAAGCTAGACCTGTCGAGGTATGTACTGCGTTATCTATCGCAACGTCAATGAGTGGGAGTGATTCCATCACCACGGCTTCTTCGCGAAATTGATTCAAAGAAAATTCTCCAGAATCACGGATTCCGTCTCACCATCGGTTTGTAAATGGTCAGCGAATGACAATTCTTGAGTACAGATCAAACCTTCGCCGTCGAGTGCGGGTCTCTATCTGATCAAATACCTACAGGCAAGCCTTGTGGCGAAACACCGTGTCAAGGAGGATTTGCCGTATCCACATCAACCATATTATCGCGGACAGCAACCCTGCTCAAACAATTCACGAGAAACTCAGTACCGGCATTACCGGACGCATCTTCGAGAGACCAAAATTAAAGCTAACTTGAAGGAGTTCCGGTACGCTTTCGGCACCAGCAGACTGAAAAAAGACGCCGTGCATACATCGCATATTTGTCTATATATACGCTATCCCACTTAGACATATTGGGCCACCAATATGTAGCAGTAACGTTCTCTATCTTATCAAATGCCTCGAACATCTAAGTTGTACTTGAAGTCCTACTCATGAGGCACCACTAAACGCTTGGTGTCTTGTGATAAGTCTTGGGGTAAGGCAGAGCGGTAAAGGCGCGCAATAGCGCGCTTTGGTATACTTTTAACTGTTAAACTCTTTTCCATACTACAGCAATCCTTAGGATAAGACATTGGGTGCAGGTGATAAAACACGCGCTTTGTTAAAGCGACACCAGATTTTCGGAAATTACAATCCATAAACTCTGAGCAGCAAAAAACATGTTGTACCTGATTTTTACGTTGTATTTGTGTCCTTATTACTTGGCGACGACGCATGCTGCAATTCATGATTGGTGCGGTGTGGAGGTTATTTCGTCAGCGTCCTGAGCTGATCCAGCTTTTACCAACCATAAAATATATATCGGTCTAGAAAAGGATAAACATCTCGCAAATATCGCGGTGTCGATATTGCCGCGCGCGACGACGGACGATCTAAAAATATCACGAATGGCTTGGAACCAAGCAGATGTATCCTGATCGCGGTATAGGAATATGTCAATCCAAGAATTTTTGACGTTACTTGGATAGCTCCTTAAAATTTTGAGCTAGGAAGACCCAAGCGCAAGCATGCCTTTGGCATCTACCAAGAGTAAACACACAATTTGGTGCGAAGGCCGAAGCGTCACACACGAAATGGAATGACTGATCGACCTCAGAAGAGCAATAAACGGAGACCGCATATGGCTTTTATCCACAGCATTATATACCACCTCTTCTGCCGCCCATTAAGACCAATTTACATCATTTTTGAGGAGGTGGGTGAGGAGTCGTGTCACTTCGACTCATTTCGTGATATTTTATGTCAAATAGCTGGTCAGGCTAAATTACTTCTTTGACTTCTTTTTTACAGATAAAAGTAGCCTTCATCTTCGCGGGATCTACCTCCGGACTTAGCTTATCATTAAGGGAACATCGAAATAATTGTTTGTCGGCGACAAATGCATTATTGTCGATATTTTGACAAAGCGCACAAACTCGAGCATCACTCGCAAGTGTTTAATGTGGCTTCTTACACGTGACATCCAATCTTTGCTTGACTGTGGACGAATTTATCGTCGAAATATAGCGTAAACATGGCCTGAACAGCTGTGGCATGAGATAATTGAACGTCGATGATAGATAAGACAATCCCGGAGCTTCCGACTCAGAGTACTCACCGCAGTGTAGGGGGATATCAATATTGCTCACCAGCACTTAATATAAGCCATTTCCTAAGTCGGTGACTGGATAAAGTGCGGTTGTTTTACAAAAAAATATTTGAAGAATTGACGTTTGCGTTAAAATTGTGAGTTAATTATAAGCATGCAAAATTTGCTACTTGCCGTTAGACAGAAAGTGTGGAGATTGAACTTATTTTAATGAACCCGCTTCTTGCTTCGCAGGGATAGGAGTGCTAGTGACGTTATACTGTTTTCTTGGTTAGGTCCAGTACATTTGCCGTGTGACGCAATTGAGTATCTGCTCATTACCGTCTGATCTTACCCCTATTTTTCTTTGATACAATGTTTTTTAATCGTGTCGATTCATCTTACTTATGGGATTCCTTAACATAAGATCAAGCGCTTTCAAATTGGTCGTATGACGCAATACTGCTTCGTTGAAAGGTGAATGAGAGGTAAATTTTGTGGTAGCGACGCAGTGTTTGTTGCGGGAGATATCCGAATAAAGGATAGTGTAAAACTGGTTTCATATCATCATGATTCGGCTCCATATTCTGCACACTACCTCAAGCATCCACTCAGATAACATTTGAGTTCCAGCTACTATGCCGCGAGACTATCACACCGGTGACCGCAGCCTCAAGTATATTATTCTAGGAGCTCAACGAATCCTTTGGAACAGTTTATATCATAATAGAGCCATGTAATGGCTTTACCTCCCGTAGTACTACACTTTTTGTATAATGATGGCAGATACGCTTTCATGTAAATAACGTCTGCCAGATGGATGGTTTGACCCAGTTGTAGTCGTTACGGTGGACAGCCTACAATTGACAAGCAGGACAAAGTTACAAAAACAAAACTCACACTTAGGTATAACTCAGCTTCACCTCTTCAGCTTGAGACAGTAACTTTTGCAGTACAACACGATGGCGATCAGATAAACTTGGAATTTCCGTCGTATTACTTGCGTCTGATGCGCGCGCTTCCTGTTCTCTAATTTTCTTATGCGCACGCTCCACATCAAATAAAGACTCGAAGTACTTTAGCTGCGTGTACAAAGCGCTGTCAGGGTACTCAAGGGTAACTGTTGCTCTGCAACCGGCAGTTGAGCATATATTTCCATTTCCTCGAAGAGATTGCTTTTGTGTCCGGGTCTTGCAGGTAACGTCAGAGCAAATTGTCCAAGCCTCGTAGTATTTTTTCGTAGCTTGCCGCGTTGCAATGTGAAGACGGTTGGAAAGCACCGCTTCAAGGTCATCGCCAACGTTTCCGTTGATTCCTTCTTTATTAAAGCCCCAGAAATCTGCCTTGCACATCGGGCAGAGAAGCCCGCTGGACAGATTGTTATCTTTTACTGAAGTACAAAACACACCTGGAAAAGCACTTGTCATCTTGCATCGGTCACACGTGATCTCCAAAGAAACACAGTTCTTAAATCGATCTGCGTCAATCTGCAATACACTTGGAATTATATCGCCAGCATCATTGTCTTCGCCTAAATGATTTGCAGAATGAGAAAACTTTGACGTGTCGAGGCCCAAACAGTGAGCTAACTGGGGGCTTGATGTTCCTTCAATGTGAGCACACAAACGATTCACCGGCGGATGTATTTGGGACTCAAGATACCAATTGACGTCAATAGTAAGCTTTCCGTTAGCGCGAACCACCTCGTCGGGGTGATAGGCACGGCGACCACTTCCCGGTTCTTCCTCTTTGCAAAGCACATAAGGTATATGGGTACCAGCTCCAACTGGCTTGCCCAGAGCACGCATAGCAAGCGCTACTTGTACGTGGTATTGCTTCGCACGATCTGGGTATTGCTCAGGTTGCTTATTCAAGCTTTTCGTAATTACGTACTGTTCAATAGGCTCCTTTCCCGAACGCATGCGTTCGGCAACTTGCTCCAAATGTTCATGGATACTCTCAACCACCTCGTCACGTGAATTTCCTGATAATATGAAGTCAAGAATCTCATTACCTACGGCTTTCGAGATCACGCACCAATCACGACGCACCATGTCAAGCCCCTTTACTTCTTTTTCAAAGGTAGGCTCGCCACCAAAGTGCTCCTTTAACACCAAAGCAGCGTACTTTTTCTTGTTCAACAGCAGAATACGCTTAAAAATGTAATCTACTTCAAGCTCCAGCAGCTTAAAATGCTTATTACACTGAGATTGGATCTCGCGACCGATGCGCTTAGCCTCCTCAAGATTTTCTGTGCGCGAATCAACCATAATTGAGTCTGTATCACCGTAAATGACATCGTATCCGCACTCTTGTTCAGCTACTTCCTTCGCACGCTGCAGTGTTTGCCGCCCAGTGGATGTAATAAGAGCAGCAATGGGTTTTGCATAAAAGCGCGAAAATCGAAATCCCAAGCAGCCGTACATCGAGTTTGCAGTAAGCTTGATGGCTTTTTGGCGGATGTCAAGCATGTTAGCCTTCTCGCTGTTACCCGCCTTTTGCTCAATCTTCAATTGCTGTTTGACTTGTTTACGTGACTCCAGCAAACGCTTGATCACAGCGGGTAAAATACCAGGCTCACATGCACTACTAGGTAAGGCCGGGATCTCTGAGTCGCCTTTCGCATCATCGTTATCAAGATTTAGGTCCATGTCTTCGTCGTCCATGGGATCTTCGTTTTTAAGTAAAGGCATATCTTTTGATTTCTTCTTCTTTTTGGACGACACCGGTTCAGCCGACATGTCCTCGTTCAGCTGCCGCTCTACTGTCGTAAAGCAAATATTATATTCCTGTAGTGAGATACAAACAAGACCTCGTTTAGATAAAGGCAAACCGAAGCGCAGGCAGGACACTTACTCGGATGATAGATGGATACAAGCTCATAAAATCCAGCAGTACCACAAAACTGTCGTAAAGACCTTTCTTCGGAGCAAACACCATACCACCTGCATACGACGCTTCTCGCCTCTTGTATGATTTGTCAGCCTCAGTTCTGGTTTTATATTTTTCAGGTACAATGAATTTGTTTTTTGACCGGCTAAATTCGTGAAGTAGCAAATACTCAATCCGTTCTGCACGCTTGTTTGCCTCCAGCGTACGCGTCCACAAATATCCACACAAATTAGCAAGCTGCTTCGAAAGCGGTAGAATTTCAAGCTTGTGCATCAGATGTAACACAAACATGGCATCATCAAGCGTGTGGCGAAGAAACTTCACAAAATTATCAGGACCCCCAAGTAGAATTTGAGGAATCTCAGTCATCTCAACGTCCAACCGCTGTTTGTGTAACAGCCTTTCTACCAAGTACGAAAGTGTATAGTTATTCTGTGAAGGCAACAACTCTTTTGACGACACATAAGTATCACAGAAGAGTCGACCGTTAACCATATCGTCCATTCTGTATTCATTCCAGCCTTCTCCCACATTCATCGGATTGAGGCGACCACGACGTAGTCGCGTAAGCTTCGACCACAGTCCACCGAGTTTAAAATTGTCAATGCGCGAAATCAGTAATTCCAAGGCGTACTTGTGCAAATTATGACCAACGACCACATCAGGATCCTCTACCTGAACTCTCGTAAGAAAATAGCTGAGCATTACACGCTCGTTAATCTCAATGCGCAGACGGTCACTATCGATGCACAATGCACCATTATCCATTTTCATGCCAAAGCGATCGTCTTTTTGAGCAGCTTCGGAGTAAGCCGAAGGAAAACCATTATTTCCATCCAATGGACGAATGATAGTAAAGTGCGAAAGTGTATGTCGCGTCCCTTTTGACACTTTCCCCGCTCCATCGGCACTTATACCACTCTCAATGATTGCCGAGAGCGCAATTACCTCGTGCTTTCCAGTGTTTGGATTGCAAACACTTTTCAGACTTAAGCTCATCACTGTCATGGGAGGTGGTGCCATGCCGCCAGCTATAGGACTCACGTTCTTGGGATCAAAAGTCTCAAACTCCATTTTACAAAAACTAACGCTCTCATTGCATTTGCGGACACCTTTTACTTCTATCCATCCTGGTCCTAAAAGCCGACGAGTAAGCAAAAAATTTTCAAGCGGCCTAGTATAAGCTCCACAAATTCGTTGAAAGGTTTTTCCTCCACGAGTACAGTAGTCTGAAGGGGGAGAGGGATATCGCGCAGGATACTTGACCTTCAAGAACAAGTTTTTACCTCTTGGAATATTCGCCTCCTCAAAAGCATAGCTACGCTCCACAAGCTTTGTCTTAAAAGCTTCTTGATCAAGTTTAGAAGAGATACAAGAGGGAATCAAAATGTTATAAATCTCCTCGTGCATAGACATCCAAGCATCCTGCTGTTCCGTCTTACTCAGTTCGATCAATGGATTCTCTTTGGGAACAAGATACATGTAACGTTGCAAGTTGTTCACAACCACACAGCAACTACTGTAAGTAAAAGACTCATTCGAGCCTTTGGGACCTGTTACCTTCATTTTTCCTATAAGGTAAATTTTTCCAGGGCGATCACGCACTTCGACCGCATCCATCCAATACATTTGAATCGAATCTGCCGTATCAGGCAAAGTCTCGGGCTCTGCATCATTAGCAGCCATAGAGGCTGTAACATTTGGTTCATCGCTAGCAACCTGCCACCACTCGGCAACTTCATTCGACGGCACCGAGCTCATGGATGTATCGTCCAACTCTTTCTGCTTTCCTGGAGCAGCCAGCGCTCTTACTGTAGGCGCTGAGGTCTGCAGATTTTGTTTACGCGCTTTCTGAAGCAACATCTCACGCTTACTCATTCTCTGCTTGGCGATCCCAGCCTCGTCATCTCTCTTGATATTAGCTTCTTCATCAGCATCACCGCTTGCCATCTCAAACTCTTTTTCAGCAGCGAAAGCTTCGTCCATAGGTTCATCTGATTCTTCCGCTTCATATGCGTCATCAACAATATCTACACTATCCGGCTCCTCTTCTCTAACACTGTGATCCTGTACGTTGGACAAGGCAGTGGCCGAAAGGTCTTTCACGGCAGTAAGATGGGACGTCCCGCTACTGAATGCCAAAGACCCAGTAGAGTAAGATATTGGTCGCGTATACAACGACCTTGACTCGGTAGGATTACTTGTCAGATCGTCCAGCATGCTATCAAGATCAATATCTTTCTTAGCACTTGTTCTTTTTACACCTACTGGTACAGCACTACGGTTCTTGGTCTTACCCGCTGACGCAGAGAAGAACATATTAGTAATCTTTTGTCCTTCTCCACCGCCAAGCTTAGCACGTTGCATTTTCTTTGCTCGTCTGACGTATGAAGAAGATAGAGCCCCAGCGCTACGTTTTTTACCTGCGACTGAGTCCTCATCGTCCCTGACATCCCCCGCGTCATCCTCTGCGTCAGACTCAAAGAATTGTTCTTCACCATTGTCGTAGTATCCCATTTCACCATCATCATTCTCTACAAATGGAAGACCCTGACGTCGCTGACGCACAAGCTCCTCGTATTCTTGTTCAGTCACGGCCTTGTAGATACTTTCCTCCTGAGGTTTGTACTGAGCCAAGCGACTGGAGTTACCGGCAGCAGTTTCCTCAAGCACATCACCATCGCGCATGCGCTTTATTTCCTCCAGCGCCTTCTTGCGGCTGAAACTGCTGCGGCTAGTACCTGCACGCCGGGAGCTCATAGTAGCTTTTGATGTGCGGAAGAGCGCGCGCGCCAAAAAAAAGGAAACTTGTAAATCCCTCTCTATAATAATTACTTGTGTGACAAGATGAATGAATAATTAAATTGTGACTCACATATGTTGTTATCATTGCATCACAATACTCCTCACTTCACTATGTGTCTTTAAGTACACGTGTTAGAACGTCTTCTGGATTGACTTGAAGAAGAAAGTTATGGCTTCCGTCATGGCAACGAAGCGACTGCGCAAGGAGTATTTATCTATGCAACGCAAACCCGTCGACTATATTCAAGCAGTGCCTTTAGAAACAAACATTCTCGAGTGGCACTATGTTATTACAGGTACAAAAGGCACGCCCTACGAGGGTGGGTTCTACCACGGCAGGTTAAAGTTTCCACCCGAATACCCCATGAAACCCCCGTCTGTGATGATGATCACGCCTAATGGTCGTTTTAAAACCAATCAGCGCTTGTGTCTCAGCATGTCAGATTTCCATCCAGAGACATGGAATCCCATGTGGTCTGTCAGCTCCATTCTCACGGGTCTTTACTCATTCATGGTATGGCAATCACTTTGCTATAAACATAACAAAATTTGCTTCTTACGCTTCATTTTTTAGCTGGAAAATCAGGCAACATTGGGTAGTATGAGCACAACTGATGGTCAAAAGCGAAAGTATGCCGCGACGTCTTTGGAGACCAATTGTGCCAACGCGACGTTTCGAAAGTTGTTTCCAGACCTCGTTGCTTTACAGGCGGAGCGAGAAAAAGATGAAGAATTGTCACGACGATTGGAAACCGATAGTAGCCTTGCAACATCTTCTAGTACTACTAGGGGTGTGCCATCGGAGAAGGCAGGAGCAATAGAAGACTGGTCCATGGCTGTGTGCCTTATTAGCAGTGGGCTTATTGTGGCCACTCTTGCGTTATATTGGTTGTCGTAAGAACCATCTGAAAATATGAAATTCAGGGTCAATGCATGTGAAGTATTCCTTTTTCAAGAATTGCCAGAGCTAACGTCCTCTGCTGGTGATGGGTGGTAGTTTTGCGATGCACAGATGACGCATATAATCTTTTGTTTCAATATCTTCGGTCGAAAGATACTGGTTAAGTTATACAGCAACCTGTACGCTATAAAAATAAAGGAGTGACTAGCAGATTTTAAATTTAAGTGCGCATCTAACACAGTAGACATCGCAGGTTATGACCTTTCTGTAGCTACGCTCTCCGCACTCCTCGACTTGTTCAGCATGTGTTCAAAACATTCAAGCGGTTACTATTCAGGACAAAGTGTTTTTCATTCAGCGGTAAGTAAATTTAGCTTTGTGAAGCGGTAAGTAAATTTAGCTTTGTGAACTTTCTTGGTGAACTGCTCTTGTCGATTTGTCGAAAAGACTTAAACATGTCTCCAGTTTTTACAGCATGAAAGGTGTATGAAAGGTGTGTGTATTTCCCAAAAAAACTAAACTTGAATTGTCGTCAGCACAGTGTGAATCGAGTCCTAAAGGACGTACCGCGTTGTTACGCTACGCCATTCAAAGAGTGAAGAGATTTTTTCCCTCTTGCAGAGTTTGCGCTGAACAACTTCACGCACGTCTCGATAGGTCATTCGCCACTTAACTATAGTATTCATCCTAGAGTACCTGCTTCCATAATGGGTGAGGTACTTTTCTTAAGTGGGGAAGGAACTATGGCTACAGAGCCATAGTTGGACAAAAATGCTGTCACAGAGTTAAAAGTGAATTTCGACACAACGAGACCTCTAGTCGACATGACAAGTTGTGAGGGGCAGCACGTCGATGACTTTAATGATAAGAGACAAGCCATTGTACGGTTGTTCGAGACGCAATTGCAAATGCTGAGGATCTGCAAAAAAGAACAAGCAGATAAGAGCGGAAATAAGAACAAGAAGGTATATAAGGTCAATGATCTTGTACTACTTAGTACGACAAAACTAACTGAACATGCAGTGTCCCAACTTTTGAGCAGAAAGCTTTTACCAAGATTCATTGGACCGTTTAAGGTGATGAAATCCAATGGTGATGCGTATATATTAGCCATCCCTAAACGCATACGCCTGCATTCTACATATTATGTGGTATCTTCCGAGCGAATCTGCCGATTCTACTCTACCTTTGGTAGCTGATTGAGCTGATCACGAAGTTTCTCCACAGGTCCAGCAAAAGCAACCAACTTTACACCCTGGAAGGTACTGACCACGGATTACCTTAAGAACAGAGCCTGCCTTTTCAACAGAGCGCAACACGTGTTCGTGGGCCATCTCATGATACTTTTCATTCTTTCGGTGTCGAACAAGTCCATCATGAAACTGGTGAAACCGTATATCAAAACGAGACACCAAAGCCAATCATTGGGCGTAACCATCAGTCAGAATGTCGAGTTTCGAATTCTGCGCTGGATTAAGGTAGATCTTGCAACGATCTTCAATCATCAAGCAACGCTGCTGCGCCGCCTCAACTTACTCGCGATGAGCGCTCTTTCACTTCCAGAGTCGCTCAATCTTTTCACGTTCAACCCCACCTTCGCTACAAGACTCTCGTGGAGAGCGTCGTTGGGTGGTTGAGGTGATTGTCGATCACGAGGACCAATCGACTCGTTATCGTGGAACGAAGCAGTTGAACCATCAACACTTTTACAGATTTCGCTGGTGCGGCCATCCATCGGACTCAGACACGTGAGAACCTCGTCAGGCCTTAGCGTCTGATCTTGGTCCTCAGCTGCGAGAGTCGAATATAGTGCTGCTAAAGGCAACACTACGACGAGCTGAGCTTGGTTGTGGCTAGGAGTTCTGCCAGCGTCGACTCGGCAAAGCACACGCTCCATTTTGTTCTCGTTTTCAAGGCAAACGAATGTCCGCCGAGAGTCAAGCTTAGTTGCGATGGGCTGGGTCGGATCATCACGATTGTTGATCCGAAGCCAACATAAGAAACGATCCATGAAGAATGTCTGTCCTTGTTTTGGTTGAAAATAGAGGAGACGTCTAGAACCGTACTTTGCCGTTTAGGCGGAGAACGCTCTTTCATTTCTGGTTAGTACATTGTTAAATTTGCGCACAATATGTGATTCCCTATTTCTGCATATCAAGCTAGTGGGACATAGTATTCACGATTCACTATGGTCTTAAAACTTTGAGATGATAATTTGCACATTAGATCTTCATTGCGAGATAACACCACACTCTGAATGTCATGTGGGTCATTGCTAAGAACAGCAAGTCTTGGGGTAAGAAATAGTAGTGCAGTCGTGCAACCACGTCCTTCAATAACGCGACCTTAGACTTTTAATGCTTTCATGTTGGCTTGTTCACTTGATCACTTCATTGTTGATCGGATAGCAAACTTCTCCGAACGGTCTGCAAAAGTATCAATGTACTTTCGCTTTAATGAGGGGATGGGTACCCATCCCCTCATTGTGGAATTTATTAAAGTAGATATCAGTACGGTAAACCCAAATGCATTTGTGATATCTTATATGAAGTCACAAACATTTGTTTGATACAGAATGATGGTTCCTACCTGAGGATATGAACTGGTGACGAGACCGATGTGTATTTGTCTTTCGAAGTGTGTGTCATAAGCCAGTCACTTCTATCGGATACTTTCTACAAAAGTTGAAGCTCAAGGTTTCGAAGAGGAAGACGTAAACCAGTCCCTTCTACTGGATACACTCCACGAAAGCTAAATTCAAGCTTTCGACATTTAAGCGCAATTCACCCACAATCTTTTATTAGTTGAAGCTGAGGTTCAACCTCAGTACACCCTTGATTTATAAAACTGGAATCCAAGGTGTTATTAGTACAATCTCTTAGAGCCTTTGGAGTTTTTACATGTAGCTAGGAACCATGACTCATTGTTCATTCAGTTGCAATTTACCTTCAAGGTATCGGGGAGTTCTTCTTCCCTCCAAGTCAGGACTTCTTTTCACCCTCCGCGTCGGGAGTCGTTTTCTCGTCGCACAAGCGTGTGTGTTATATATAAGGAACTGTTTGTGGATCGCGCCCTCTTACATTGATAATTACGCTAAATCCTAAGAATGAGTAAATCTATAGATTCAGTAACAGTTTTTAGCGCATGTTAATAGCTTTGTTTTACTTTAAGGCTCTTAGTTCTGCTCCTGACGGGAGCACACGACTCCAGCCTTAGTGTGTTTATTGACACGGGCCCTTGAGGGCAAAATTTGCAAAGCTCCTGGCAACCCCCGTTGCAGCTTCCTTCCTAATCAAGGCAGCCCCTATCTGAGCGCATCTTGAAGAGCTGGTGTAATAACAAAATTATGTCTGCATTCTTTTTAGATCTGCGCAAAAGCCAAAGATTATTTGGCTGAATATGTGGCAACTTTTGATCGAGCAAAATTATTTTAGTAGTGCTTTATGTCTTACGATTGAAAAGGCATTGTTACGATAAGAAAAATCACGTAGAACGAGGGCTGAATTTTGGTCGGCCTTGCCAAAAATGATAAATTTAGCCAGAATCTTGACCTGGCCGAAATTCCCCCCTCCGCGTCCAAACAAAATACTCCAATTGTGGAGAGAGAGCTGGGTTTGAAGATTTTCGCAAGCACGAAGCTTAATTTACAGCAATTATCTTAGATAGAGTCAATTTGAAAAGAGTCTGTCACGATAGAATGATGTTGCTTCTTCTAGACAGCACCTGGTCTCATGTGGAAGTGATGTTTTAATTTGTGGAAAATTCTCTGTTCACTAAGCATGAGAAGAGGTTTTAAGTTGCTCGGTTTTGAATATTTTGCATGCTCCAAAGCAGATTTCGAAGCTTCTTGTAACGGGATTGCACGCACCCTTGTATGAATTGGCGGGTCGCACACAGGCGTGGATTAATAAAGTTAGTGTAATCACACAGTGGTATGGCTACACCGTAACGGAAGCCACCACGTGGCGGGATTGCTAGTCGTAATGCAGAGTACTATATTAACCAGGTATTATTATATTAATTTTGTATTATTATGTAGATTGGGAGAACTTAGGGTGTTAGATATTGGCGGCTCTGCTGGGACTAAAACAAGAAAATGTATCAATTTTGAACAGAAGCTTGGAGAAGGTTTTTAGTATTTGAGAGTAGCGAATTACGATCTGCTACTCTCGCACTGATTCTTGTAAAGAACGTAAGGTCGGTGACCTTATGTTAGCTTTCTTTAAGCAAAGAACTACGGCAGCCCCTCTGTGCTTGGTAGCACCCGTAGCCAATCTACGCCTGAGTCGTTACGATTGATCTTCTGTGATGATGGAGAATACTCCTGTTTGCCCCAGAGCATGCAGGACAGGCTTAATAAGCTGATGTCCCTGCTGGGCCTGAGAGCGTGGAGCACCTTGTTGCGCAAAGGCCCGAGACCATAAAGGCGCGCTTAGAGGCGTTTTCAAATGCTCTATCAGAGCACGTACAGCAGGACCTGTCAGCGTCACCGCGTTCATGACGCCACCGTCGATGACGGATGATTCCTTCCGACCCAGGTCGCTCATGATAAGCGTTAAGACCTAAGAATGAAGTATTTCTCCTGCTCTGGGTGAGAGAGGGCGAGATGGCTATAGCGTCCGCCATTATCCAAAAGCAGCAGCAGCTCATGGCGTTAGCTAGGTCGGGGGGGCGCGAGATATGCGGTGTTTCGGTTGGAGCTGCGCTACCCTCCTTGGGAGATCTGAAGCGTCAGCTATTGCGAGTGCTCTCGCCGCCCAACCAGGCATATCGCGTGCGATCGCGTATTCTGCTACCCTGTCGGGTAGCAAGTAGTTGGTGAACTTTGTCCAAGAGTTGAGAGCGCTCATTGCCGGGATGGCAGCAGATTCTCTCCCCGAAACGGTCGCAGTGACCATCTGCCTGGAGGGCTCCAGACTGGCGTGGTCAGAATGGAAGGCTTCTACGTGCATCCGTCTTTATTCGAAAAAGCGGAGGATGTGGCATTTAATGCCGAATTCAAATTTAAGTCGGCACGGCTTGGTTGGAATGCACCTTCTCAGAAATCGTCGAGCAGGCCTGAGCCAATGGATCTCAGCTATGCTGAGAAGGAGATGGGAGAGCTCCAGTGTAAACACCCAACGATGTTTTTTCTGAGGAGACACCCCGTCACCTTCGGACTGGTTTTAGCCTGCCCAAGGCGCGTAAGGTTTGTCGAACCAACGTCTCGCTTCTAACCAGTCTGGTTTGTCGTGAGGAAACGAGAAAATCCAGTAGGCGCGAACGCCCTAGTAGGGAAGAACCGAGTTCTGTTGTGCCGCAAAGAGGCAGAGAGCAGCAGTGCCTAGCTTCAAAGACCTTTGTGCTCTTGAGCACGGAACGTGTGTGTAGACCGGGCTTGCCGGTCGTAAAAGGGACTGTGGAGTGCTTTAAAAAGCCTTAAAAATCCTTGTCGATTCCGGGGTGTCGGGCAAATATACTCGACAATCCACGATCGAAGAGAGCCAGCTGCGCTGAAAGCACGGTTGAGTGACACCGTCATTGTTCGCTTAGCGTGTCACTGTGCCGAGGGTTCTTGTGGACTTCGGTGTCAAGATCTTTTACTCGATAGCGTGGAACGCTGCGTAGTCTTAGACTTGGATGGAAGACATGATCTTACCCTTGGTATTGCATGGCGGGAACACCATGAGTCATGGATTGATTGAAAAGTTGAAGACCTTGGGCGCGATGAGCACGTCACCTAGTGGAGATTGGGTGAGTGATAAACCCACATCTGCTAGGAAGCAGAGGCGCTATTATCGCGGGCGCTGGACCGGGACGGATAATGTGCTGATTATTGGAGTATCCGAGTTGTCAAAAACTAAAGGTGTTTTGAGCAAATGAACCGAGCGTGGCTCGCGGGCTGAACGTGGAAAGGCACGTAACTCACTGAGCACTGCTCCAGTATTGAAGCGGTCACTGCATGCCATGCGTGGTATAATCGACCACGGTCCGAGGCATCGAGGGCAAGGCCCCAGTGATTCATTTAAAGCGGCACGTAAACCACTTAGCACTATTCACGTTTATAAAGCATTTTAGATCGGCTAAGGGCCGAAGCATCGAGAGCGAGGCTCCAGTTATGCACGTGGAGTGGTATGTAGTTCACTGAGCACTACTCACGTTTCAAACAGTTGCTGCATGCCAAGAGTGGCATGGTCAGACGAGGTCCGAAGCATCCCGGGAAGGGTCCTTCAGATGCGCGTGAAGTGGAACGTTATCCACCGGACGAAGACTGCAGAACTAGCAGCTCTTCGTCGGATGTTGTTAATAACACCAAAGCTCCGGTGGAGCAGGGAGTATAGAGACTGGACGACGCTAAGTGAGTGTTCCTACTGTTCTCAACTGGGCATAAACCTCCGTCAAGAGGCAACGGCAACGCCGTATTCTATCTGCAAGACGCAGGGCGTCGACCCTGACCCTGGATGTATCTACCGTAGACGATAGCGCACAGCTATATACCCTTGTCAGCGGTATGACGGGAGAGGAAGACGGCGACGTCACCCTCGAAACTGTTCTCGCGGTGAATGCTTCTCTTGAGCTGGACGAGAGTGTCTAGCTCAAGAAAACGTCCTTCGAAGAGTTTGGCGGTGTCTTGAAGGCAAGCAATTAGGCCGAGGTGGTCAATATAAGACCATAGAGGGAATTAACTCGTCGTCGCTTCTGGATGAAGCTGTCCTGGAGGACTGTAAGAGAGTGATGAACGCACGAAGTGAATTGTCGATCCTACGGAATCCCTTGGATCCGTACTATCCTTTGGTAATGGAATTTTCAGTCCTAACTTCGGACTAAGGTGTGCGTCAAACGATTAACCTGGTTCCGGGAACCAAATACTGCGTAATACGCCAATGGCCCCTACCCAAGCAGAGGTGTGACGTTTTTTTTCAACGCGCAGCAATGGTGCGTGAGAGCAAGTCTCACCATTCGACACCCGTGTTTGTGTCCGGAAGCCGAACGGGAAGTGGCGTATCATTCACGCTTACAAAAAGCTCAGCGCCACCACCATTCCGGCAAAGACGCCGCCGATTCCTAGGAAGGATGTTCTCCAGAACAACGTGGCTGGATGTACAAAGTATAATGCACTCAATATCGGTGCAACCGTGCGCGCAATCGCAACGACAACTTTTTGTCCGAGTTTCCGAAATCCTTGCTTCCGGGATCCCATAATTTCCACATAACATCACCCGCGTATGCGGCGCGGATCAAATTTGTCACTGCCGACGTCACCGTAATGACATGAGCAAGCTAATAATCCGGTCTGCGTGACAACGCATCAGCCAAAGCATTCTGCTTTCCTGGCTTATACTTCACCTCGAATTTATATTCTGCAAAAAAGGAGAGCCACCTGGTGATCCTCTACGAGAAGTGAGGCGACTGAGTCGCAGTGCGTAGCGACGCACGATCTGTGTAGATCACAAACAGCTTGGAGTCGAACAGGTGCACCCTAAATTGAAAAGTGCATACTTCAGCGCAAATAGTTCCTTGCCCTGGAATGGGTAATTTTTCTCCGCAGCCTTGAGCTGGCAAGATTCGAGCGCGATCACTCCATCTCACCCCTCGGCGTATGCTTGCAGCAGTGCACAGCCGATTGCAAAATTTGAGAAGAGTCACCGACGACACTAAAAGGACGATCGGGGTCTGTCAACGCCAGTATTGGTGGATGAAGAAGGCTGTCTTTGACCCTGTCAAAAGCCCCCTGATGTTTAGTGTCCCAACACCATTCCGCATCCTTCTTAAGGAGATTTGACAATGGCCGTGCTATTTCCGCATAGTTCTGGCTATACTTGTGCAAGTAGTTTGCGATGCCAGCACTTGTCTGCATGAGCATACAGCTTACTCGTGCGCTTGCACTTAAGCACCGCTTTCAGATGGACCATATGGTTTTCTTCATCCGTTCTCCCGTGCCCCGCACGACTGTGGACGCCGATATTGTCGAAGTATGTTTGTGCATACACCCGATGGGACCTGAACAACTGCGTCACAAGACAATTAAATGATGCTGGCGCATTTAAGAACATCACCAGCCACTCCCAGAGCATGCCGCTTGGAGAACTCTCCGCTGTCAGCAAAATATCACTCGCTATCATTACCAATTGGTAATAGCCATCGGCCAAGTCGATATTTGCTGCTAACGATATAGCACCGACTCGACGGCTACGCCACTAATTGTTTTCTCACGACGAGGATTTGAAGTATACTTTCCTCTTTGAGGCCCACGACACCCCACTCAGTGGTCATCTCGGTCGTGAGAAGACGTAGTTGACACTATTGGCGGCCCAAGCTGTACAAATATACGAGCACATATGTGCGCACATGTGAGACGTATCAGGAATTGAAACCCTCTCCGCATGCGGCAGCACCGCTGGTCATTTTTTTGGCGCCCTCCGGGTGTTAGCAGTCTATGAGTACTGACTTTGTGTTTGGCCTGTCGAAGGACCCAGCGAGCAATACGGACGTGGTGATATTTGTGGACCGTTTGAGCAATATGGCTCATCTTGCGGCAGTATCGGACACATCTCGACGGTGTGGGTTCAGCGACGCTGTTTGTAGATCGTGTCTTTTGACAGCATGGGCTCCCGAAGTCAATTGTCTTTGCTAGATACCCGCGCTTCACGGTGGAGTTGTCTACAATCTTCAGGGTGCTGGGCACCAAGTTGACCATGTCAACAGCGGACCATCCGCAGACTGATAGTCAAACTTAGCGCGTGTATTGCGTTGTTGAAGGCGTTCTTCGCAGCCTCAGCGCTGAGACACCGAAGCGCTGGAGCGCTATGCTTCCACTCGTAGAGATTTCTCTGAACAATGCAGCGCCTTCATTTACCGGCTACACGCTGTTCTACGTGAACGGGCTTGTTAATCCTCGCGTCCTGTAGATGGTAGAAGCAGAAAAATTGTGGAAATCGTTGAGGTTGGAGACCTGGTATGCTAAAAAACTTCGTACACATGCAATCTTCGCTCTTCAAGACAAAGATCCGTCCACGGCTTATTGGACCTTCTAACGTCGTGTCCAAGCGAGGCTTTGCGTATACGCTTAACCTTCCGAGAAGGGTGCGCACTCACCCAGTGTTCTATAAGGTTTACTTAAGCCGAATCGGGATCCGGCGCGAGTGAACGCGGAAGCGTTAGCGCCAGGGCGGCGCCCAAAGACGCTCGGCTACTCAAAAGCTAAACCAGCAACTAGTTCTGAGCACGGAGTGCAACATTTTCGTTCCAACGGTGCAAGGCGCTCAGCGTCGCACGAAGCGATGCATTCGTCTGCTCGACGCTAGGAGCCGCTCCGACATAGAGCGGAGATTCTCAACGTGAGGCAGTCGGTGCACAAAGTGCTCCAGGCTTTCGCGATCTTCCACACAGCGGTACGCGAACATCTCTCTGAGGCATTCGGAGAGATGCTCGGCAGTTTGCCGATGACGACGGATTTGTCGCTCAACGCTCGAAGAGCATCACGAGTCACCGGACGGCGAGTGACCAAGTCGTCATCGTCTGCCGCCGACTCTTCTCGATGAGAATGGTGGCGTTCACTACTACTTGGAACGCCTTGTAGGTCGACGTCGTCGACAGGGTCTAACTTAATGTCTTGTGAAGTGACAGGGATACCCAAACTCAGAGAACTCGTCGGGGGTTTCAGGTGCCGCTTTGGCAATACTGTACAAACGTCGTGGACGCTAATGACAAGAAGAATCATGATGCTCCGCGTCGTCGTGCTCCCCGCGCTTTGCGACAGTAACCCGGGAAGGCGAAGAGCCATGAGCTGAGCTCAAGCTACGGCCCTGAGCAGCTGTGGTCGTAGACTCACCGGTGTGAGAAACCACAGATCTCGCGGGAGCGTGATGATTTTTCCATGTGTCGCAGAACGACAATAAGCAAGAAGTCAACGTTGCGCCTTGGATCTGGCAAACTTAAATCGAAGGTGGCGTTCTGCGCGCACGTCCACCTTCTTGTGGCCTTGCTGTAAGGTAGATAACAATAAAAAAGTTTCCAGTGCCGCTGCATCTAACGCTCAAAGAGATCATCATCATCTGCAGCGGTTTCGCCAGGGGCGAACACCATAGCGACGGTCCGCATTGCGGGTACAGGAGCTTTCCTCTTTGAGCTCGAGGTCGAGCGCGGTACCAATCCATTTGGATTTTTTGGGGTACCAGAAAGCGAGCTCGGAGAGCTTTCCGCTCGTCAAGCTTAGCTTGTGTAGTGGCCAAGGGCCCGACTACATCGACGCCTAACGATCAAGTGATCGCGTCTTTCACTTCAGTAGCAGGATCCGCTGAGCGAAAGACGTATCCCACAAGAGGGTCTAAGACCGAACGTGAATACGAGCACATGAGAGCTCCTCTGTGGACAGCCTCCAACTGCTACTCATGTGCCTCGTCGAGACTATTTGCAATACGACCACTTCCCCGGATGTCGAAAAACGGACACAGCGTCCGCAAGGTTCGAGCCGGGCTCACGTCGCGCCGTTGGCGCACCTTATCCCCCTCGTCTTCCCATGCCGGGAAAGGAGTATTCGACTCTTAGTCGATTTCCTCCGAATCCTTGACGAGGAAATCCGACGCCCGAGGCAGGCGCGGTGTGTGGCGCTCGATTGCCGAGGGCTTGGAATGTGCTTCCTGTGAAGCAGCGGACCTACTGTCCGTAGATGCACCCTCCGCAGCTAGACTGGGTGTTTGTCATAGACACAGGGCTCATGAGTCGAGAATGTTCAAAGATGTCCTAAAGACATAACGATAGTATACCCCAAGATGAATTTTTTAATTTAAAAATCGTTGCTTGTAGATTTTCTGCCTGCGAATAATTGCTTCTTTGCCCCTCATACGAACTTGGCACCCTTGAAATGCTTCGTTGCAAGCTTTTGTTATCCGCTGCTAAAAGATACATGTCAAGATTTGACGCTATCTATAGTACGTCGCCATATGCTGGAAGGGAAAGTGGTGAGAGCTGACCTACAAGATGCGGACCTTCCGACGCCTTTGATGCAACGGAATGAATTGGAGTCCACTACTCTCAGCAATCAACATCCCTCTTTAGTTTATTTTTGTATGTATGCTAATGATGTATGCGTTTTTTGCTAAGGATAATGTACGTGACCATGTAGTGCTTGCGATGAGCACTTAACACCATTAGTCGTGCAGTTGTGTGAAAAGTGCGTATTCGTCGATTTCGAGACAGTCAGTAATTGATCCTTGATTATTTTGCCATGCTGACGCTTAAAGTTAAAAGTTATCGGAATTAGAGATTGTGCTATTGCGACGTCTGTTTTCTAACCTTCTAAGTTTCGCTAAATGTACCAATGTGGTCATTCTTTTGGAGCAATTATCCCACAATGTATTGATTTTCATTCTTGTATTATGGGTCGTTCGCGTCAACCAGGCCACCGCCAGCGCGGGGCTGGCACCGTAAGCGTGTCTAAAGGAGACGCCGTACGTCAAGGTATACTATGTAAGGAATGGCAGCGCACGCCCATGCAGCTACTACAAGACTTTTGCCAGTCCAAAAAGCGTCGAAACGCTGTCTACACGCGAGCGAAAAGCAAGGACGCAGCCAAATTTCGAATGCGCTGCGTTTTACCGGATGCAAAAGACAGTAGCAAAGATTTAAACTTTCGCCCGGAGCAAGAATTTGATACACAGGATGATGCGAAACACTGTGCTGCTTTATTGGCGCTGAAACACGTTGAACCTTTGCAACCTTATGAGAGGAAGCTACCGGATCCGTATCGAGACTTGTGGCTGGCATTAAGCTCGCAAACGACTTTGAAAGAAAACGGAAACGCTAAAGGGGCGGCAATTGCAGTGAAAAGAGAGGAACAACCGGTAAGATTGGAGAAGAAAATGACGACAGTGGATTCGGAAGACGTGGATTTATGGGGTGAAGCCACTGAAGAAAAAAAGTTAGCGAAGAAAGCGAACGACAAGAAAATTATCTTGACGATGGACAGAAAATTTGCTTCTTATAAGGAATTTGAGACTGCGAAACAAGCACAGACTCAAGAAAAGAATAGAAAACAGCGGTCGAGAGAGAATCGAGAAAGAGCAAACATGCCAAAGCAAGTCATGATGAGTGCACAGTGCCGAGAAATGATCGAAAATGTACTGAAAAATATGGGTGAATTACCGAAGACTAGCAGAAACAAAGAATTACATGAAGATACTGTTGAACAAAGGAATTTTTTTAGAGAGATGGCAACAAAAAAATTGAAAGCGATTGGTTTCACCTCGATGCAGATTCAAAGTGCGATGCAAAACTTGTGTGACTTGGGTTTAGATGGAAGAAGTACTGAAGATGTACGCATGATTGCTATCTTTGATTGGCTTTGTTTGAACGTCCCTGAAGGCGAGTTGCCGAAAAAGTTTAATCCAGAGGGTACGCAGCTCGATGTGGTGCTATCAACGTCGGATATACCCCGCACATCTGTGTTAGTGCAGCGATTGATGAAGTTTGGTTATGACCGTCGCGATGCTGTGGCTGTTGCAAGTGAGTTTTTACAGGAAAACGCGTGCATGTGCGAAGAAGAAGTTAAGACGCCGTCAATGTTAACGCTATTTACATTGTTATCGAAGCTATTCCCCTATGTGAAAAGATACTTTAGCTTGAAGGAGGTAGACACAGTAATTGAGATGAGTGACGCGTTACTGGAACACCGCCAAAATGAGATCTTTGCGCTTGAGACAATTTATGAGGAGAAACTTCGAATAACGCCGCTTGACGATAATTCAAGCTCCCAGTTGCTTGAATTCGAGATGACAGACGCGCTTCGGCTGTATATTTTCTTGTCAGGCCCATCTAAGTATCCATTCGAGTTGCCGCTCGTCGCTTTGACGTCAAAAGAACCTCAACATCAACCACATTTACTTGCTGCATGTGGTGAAGCACTAAAAAAATGCGTTTCCACGATAGGTGAGCCCATGATCTACGACATATACGTTGCAATTGATACGTACATGCACGACCAAATAGGATTAACGATCAGTCCGGCCAGAATACAACTCATACGTACTAATGTGATTGAAGATGAGACTTCTGCGGAGCCTTTGCAAGCTGAACAAGACAGGTCAAAATCACGTAAATTCAAGCGTGGGCATGATAGAAATGACAAGCGAAAGGCACATTCTTCCAGTTCAAAGTGTCTTGATGTGGAAGCTACGCGTCGAATCAGTGAGAAACTCTTACAGCTAAGAAAAGATAAAGACAGTCAACAATCTTATCAGCAGATGCTAGCTGCTCGAGCAAAACTTCCTGCTAGCAAGGAAGAAAGTCAAGTGATCAAGTGTGTTAAAGAGAATCAAGTGGTGCTTATTTGTGGAGCTACTGGCTGTGGTAAAACGACACAGATTCCACAGTATATTTTGGATGAGTACATCAATCGTGGGGCGGGTGGTGAGTGCAACATTGTCTGCACACAGCCACGTCGTATTGCTGCAATAGGAGTGGCCACGCGTGTGGCACAGGAACGATGTGAAAATATTGCAGACGTTGTTGGATACCAGATTCGTATGGAAGCGAAAAAGTCTGTGAATACGCGACTGTTGTTCTGTACGACTGGTGTTCTCCTGCGACGTTTGCTGAACGACCGGCAGCTGTCAGGCGTGTCGCACGTGATTGTTGATGAAGTTCATGAACGCAATGTAGATACAGATTTTTTGTTGTCCATTCTTCGAGAATTGTTGCCCCAACGCCCCGAATTGCGCCTTATTCTCATGAGTGCTACTATGGACTCTAACCTTTTCGTCAAGTACTTTACATCAACGCCAAGTTCGCCGTGCCCCGTGCTGGAAATTCCTGGCTTTACATATCCAGTCGAACTTAAATTCTTAGGGGACATTCTTGAGCAAACGCAGTACAAAGTGCCAAATTGTTTGTTAAAAGCTCACAAGAAACAAGACGATAAAGGGAATACGATGGAGCTCCAGTCACTGACCAAAATGACATATGAGGAGATCGCAACGCGCGTGGACGATAGCAAAATAGATTTTGATCTGATCGTTCATTTAGTGCGTTACCTTTGTTCTCAGAAGTCAGAAAGCAAAGTTGATGATGGTGCAATTCTTATCTTCATGCCAGGAACTGCTGAAATCAAGCGAGTTATTGAGATGCTCACGCATGGAAACAATGGGTTTTCATCTAAGGTCTGGGCTTTGCCTTTGCACGGCTCACTTTCAGGAGCAGATCAGGCGATGGTCTTCAGATCTGCTCCGCCTGGCAAGACAAAAGTAATTGTGAGTACGAATATCGCTGAAACTTCAATCACTATCAATGATATCACAGCCGTCATTGACTGCGGAAAGGTAAAGGAAATGGTGTACGATAGTCGTGCTCGACGCTCGCAATTGTTAGACTGTTGGGCATCTCGTGCTGCATGCGACCAGCGGAAAGGACGAGCAGGGCGTGTGCAGGCTGGCACCTGCTATCGATTGTTTTCAACTAAGCGTTTTGCCTCCATGGACGCTCAATTGTCTGCCGAAATTCATCGCGTCTCGTTAGAGCAGCTCTGTTTGCAAATAAAAAAGCTCGAACTTGGCTCGATTAAGGGCTTTCTTGCCAATGCGATCGAACCGCCTAATAACGACTCGATTGATTCAGCGATACGAGAACTGGTCGATATTGCTGCGTTTGAAATGGTAGGGAAAAATCTCAAGAATGAAAGCAATAACGATTTACAAGTCGTGTTGACACCGTTGGGCAAGCACTTAGCAATGTTGCCACTGGATGCTCGTATTGGCAAGTTTCTTGTATACGGATCAATTCTCCGTTGTGTTGAGCCTGTCGCGATCATTGCTTCCTGTATTTCGAGCCGAAATCCGTTTGTGATGAGTACATCTGATCCCCAAATACGTGTGAACCAAAATGCATTAAAGAAGGAGCTGGGAGGAAGTTGGAAGAGTGATCACTTGTTGCTATGGAAGTTGGTAGAGCGCTACGCGCCTTTACGTGGACAGAAGATGAAGCGAGATTTCTGTCGCGAAGCTGGGCTTTCGTATGACACTATGGAGTCAATTGTTGAATTAAAACATCAATATCTACAGCAATTAGATAACATCGGATTCTATGAATCCTCTCGTGCTGTTCTTTACAATGCAAATGCAAACGCGCCTCGCATGATCAAAGCAGCACTTTGTGCGGGTCTGTACGCAAACGTCGTACAAGTTGTATACCCGGAACAAAAGTACTTTCAAGCTGCACACGGTGTCGTTGAAGAGGATCACAATGCTAAACAGATCAGATATTATGTACGATCAGTTACGGAGGCTAATCAGCGCGAGCGTGTGTTCTTGCATCCATCGTCGTGCAACTTTAGTCAAAACAATTACGATTCACCTTGGCTTTTGTACACCGAGTTGGTACAAACATCGAAGATTTTTGTACGTGAATGTACGATGGTCAATACGTACGCCTTGTTATTGTTTGGAGGCCACTTAGAAGTGACTCACGAGAAAAATCTGCTGACGCTGGATGGTTGGATTCACTTTAACGCTGTGGCTCGTATTGGTGTCCTCATAAAGAAGATTCGTCAACATTTGGATCGCCTCTTGTTAGATAAAATTGCTAATCCAAGTATTGAGATTGCACAGAGTGAATTGGTAACTGCCATTAGTCACTTGCTCACGAGTGAAGGAATGTACGCGGCGTAGAGTCTTCGTCTCGCATTTTTGGGATTTTATCGAATTTTACTCTAAGAACACATAATAAAAGGGGAGATAACGTTCTTCTATCTTAGCTCTGTGATTGAGTGGTTTTCTTCTATACAAATTAGAAGACAACAAAGCTACTTCGACGACCAACACTCCTTCTTTCGTTTCAAAGTCTTCACCTACTTTAAAATTTTCTTTCAAGTGCACCCAACAATTTCAAGTCTTTTCTCCCAATGGGCAATATTTTCTCCTTCTCACTCCAGACGCTGTACGGCAGCCTGACCTCATACTTTGGCAACCGTGAAAGTCGCATCACGATCATTGGCCTCGATGCCGCTGGCAAGACCACGTTACTTTATAAGATCAAGTTGGGTGAGCGGATCAACACCATTCCGACTATCGGTTTTAACGTCGAGACTTTTGAATATGAAAACATTACATTTACAGCTTGGGACATTGGAGGCCAGGAAAAGATTCGGTCGTTGTGGCAACATTACATCAGCAACAATGAAGCCGTTATTTTTGTTGTTGATGCAGCGGATCTTGAGCGGATTGATGAGGCCAAGCAGGCGCTGCACTTGATCTTTGAGGCCGAAGAGCTTGCCAACTCGAAGCTTCTGATTTATGCTAATAAGCAGGATCAGCCTTGCGCTCTTACGGCCGAAGAACTTCGAGAAAGAATGGAGCTGGCCGACTTGACCACTGACGCTACTTTTGTGCAGCCATGTGTTGCAACTACCGGAGATGGAATCTACGAGGGTCTTGACTGGCTGGTTAAAGCCATCACGGGCCAGCTGTCCACGTAGCTGCCGGTAGGATGTAGTGGATGTTGTAGTGATCGTACATGTCCTGTATTTACTTCCACAGACAAGTGATCAAGTGGCAGTTTATATATTATATCTCACAAGTTGTCAGTTTTTCTTAATATAAAATTTGACAATGCAAAAAATAAGTTGCACATTAAGTGGCATCTGCTCTAATTTCCTTTTTTAAGAGTTACGAAAATATCACGGTTGAAGTATCGATTGATTAAATAATGAGCTGGCGCACTGACGAGCAGTGGCTAGCCGAAGCTCAGCAATGGGCAGATTGGGACGTTAATGCTACTACTAAGGCACAAGTGCAACACCTGGTAGCAATTAAAAATGTGTCTCGTATTCGCGAGCTGTTTAGTAATCGTGTTACGTTCGGCACCGCCGGTTTACGCGCTGTGATGGGTCCAGGACCCGCGAGCATGAACGACCTCGTGGTCATTCAAACATCACAAGGAATTTGCAAATATCTTACCCAACAGTTTGGTGTTAGAGCCAAGCAAATGGGGATAGCTCTGGGTTATGACCATCGTCAACAAGGTTCATTGAGTTCCCGACGCTTTGCTGAGCTTACAGCCTCAGTCTGTCTGTATAGTGGCTTTAAGATTTATCTATACGACGATTATGTGGCTACGCCCTTGGTCCCGTTTTGTATCGAGCAAAAAGGTTGTGCGGCCGGAGTGATGGTCACGGCATCTCATAACCCCAAGGCTGATAACGGCTACAAAGTGTATTGGAATAATGGAAGCCAAATCATTCCACCGCATGATGAGGGGATTGCTCTTCAAATTATGTCCAACCTTGCTCCTTGGAGATTACATAATGACTCGCTTGAATCACTTCGAACGATCTTCCCCGAACTGCTGTGTAATCCCACCGAGGAGCTGATGAAATGCTATTTTGAAAAGGCTAGCGCCAATCTCTGTCGCTTTCCACAGGCCAACGCTGATACTGAGTTGAAAATTGCTTACACGGCCATGCATGGTGTTGGTCACGCTTTTACTAGTCGCTGTTTTGAGGCTTTTGGCCACAAAAAGTATATTCCCGTTCAAGCTCAATTATTACCAGACCCCGAATTTCCAACTGTTGCATTTCCGAACCCTGAAGAAGGCAAAGGAGCGTTGCAACTTGCAATTGAAACTGCCGAAACCAGCGGAGCAAGCTTGATCTTAGCCAATGATCCGGATGCCGATCGTCTAGCAGCAGCTGAACGCGATTCGACCTCTCTGTCTGGTTGGCGTATTTTCACAGGAAATGAGATTGGAGTTCTCTTAGGATGTTGGGAGTTGGAGCAGTATTTACGTCTTCATCCAGGCTGTAACCGCTCCCAACTGTACTTCATTGCATCGACTGTGTCATCAAAAATGTTGCGAGCTGTTGCGAATGCGGAGGGCGTAAGCTTCGAAGAAACGCTGACTGGATTTAAATGGATGGGCAACAAAACAGCCGCGTTGCGTGAAAATGGAAAGACGGTTTTATTTGCATTTGAAGAAGCAATCGGATTTTGCCTCGGTGATCTTGTTAAAGACAAAGACGGTGTTGTTGCGGCTGCTGTGTTTGCTGAAATTGCAGTGCATTTGCACGCCAAAGGGATGACGGTTAGCCAACACCTTCAAACGTTGTACGAACGCCACGGACACTTTGTGACGCACAATCACTATGTGAAATGCAACGATCCTGAAAAGATTCGGTCTATCTTCGCACGTTTACGCAATAATGGTGAGTATTGGCAGAGCTGCGGCGACTTTGCAATTACTGGTGTGCGGGACCTTACGACGGGGTATGATAGTTCTCAACCTGATAAACGCGCAGTGCTTCCTGTAAGCGACTCAACTGAGATGATTACGTACACTTTTGCTAATGGATGTATCGCCACATTGCGAACTAGTGGCACAGAGCCAAAGCTGAAATACTATGTAGAACTCGCTGGTCGCGTGGGTCAGACTCGTGAAGAAGTCACGAGTGAACTGGAAAAACAGGTTAAGCAAATTCTCGAGCTAATGTTGCAGCCGATTAAAAACAGACTCGAGCTCCCATCAACATCCGAATAATTACATCTTTATTCACATAAAGAGATGCGTCCACGTCTTTTGATGAAATAACGATAATGGTAGCCTTGTCTGCAGTTGCTCGAGTGCGTGAGGTGTTACGAAACATGCAGATTAAAATGAGATAAGCTTGCCCATACTGCAAAGTGCGTTTGAATAAATGCAATTGTTAGTTTTAAATTAGTCATGGATGTCCAATTTGAGGTGCAAACCTTTCTTGCACACTTCTAACTTTTCAGCGCTCGAGAGATAATTGCTAGAATCAGCAGTCTAAACAAGCTGTCTAGACAGGATGCAAAATTAATACAAATATACTATGGCCAATGGAGAACAGCTTTCATATCTAGAAAGCGTGTCCGGGGATTATGTAAAGGTGGAGCATTTCAATAAAATTTTAGCAGTCCCAACTCTGGAAGTGACGTGTTGCATTCATGGGCGTTGCTGCACGCTATACCTGGTGGAGCATTGATACCATTCTTGGTGAAATTTGATGAATGTAAATATTTCGATTTCGACTTGATCAATGTGATAGATTGAGACAATGTATTTTATATAAGAAGATATGTCGTTAAAGGTGATGGATGTCATGATAAGACCATCTAGTATTGAGTGATTTACGACCCGACATAGCAAAATGCAGCTCACCACCTTCGCCTACACAAATGTGCAGATGTTTTCATTGTTGAACCGAACCGTAGCCATCCAATTTAGGCGGACTGTGCACAAGAAAAGTATCAAGTTCGTCTGATGTACTGCTGGACGCACTTTTCGCGTTACGCCGCCTCATGCCGCTTGATCTCTCACAGTGTGTCATAAATACGACCGTGCAGAGTCCGACGAAAGCAGCAAGAGAAGGGAGAATACAATACACCTGTCGCAAGAGCTCTCCATCTTTTTCTGGATAATCTTGAAGGTGTTGACGCATGTTTTGAATAATAAGAATGATCATGCCGTTTGAGATTTTGTCCGTAAAGCTCATGGACCCATATACAAAGGCTCCACTTTCAACGTTTTTTCCTACCAAATCTCCCGTCAGACACACTGAAGTGACCATGATGATAGAATTACCCATGCCCAATACGATCGAGAACAGATATATCCATTTTGCTGTCTCAGGAGCGAGAAAATATGAGAGTACGAGCGCTACCACGATCAATCCAGCACCCAAAGCAAACGATCCCATACGTCCAAGCGATTCGTTTAAATATCGAAGGAAAAATGTAGCTGTGAAGCCAGACAGATATACCAAAAGCGGTACGATGGCGATGGACATAGCTGACATTTGAAGAGTCACAATTAAGTAAAAAGAGATAAAAACCTGCGTGATGTTCACCACAAGCCTCGTGCACATGTAGACCAGCCCGACCTGGTAAAACATACCCACTTTGAACCAACATCTCCAAGTCATGTGGTCATATGGCATGTCTGATTTCACCACCTCCATATTTTGAGCATAAATACTTTCTTCGGAATTGTAAGTATTGGGTCCTTGACCCTCAAGATCCGCCACTACTGGACTCGTAGCCAAAATGTCACTTGCATTGATTTCTTTCGCGAACCCCTTCATTTTTTCCGGCGTTCCTGCTAAGAATGCCACAGTAGACATTCCTCCAATGATTAACGAAAGATACGCCAAAAGTGTGAATTTCTCGGCATCGGGCTCTCCAAACGGTTCCACAAATTTCAAAAGCACTAAGAAGGCACAAAATACCATCACATTTGACAGAATCGTAAATGCGTATCTCGTGCTGTTAAGAATACAGCGAACGTTATCATCATTTGATAACTCAGGCACCAATGCCATATGGGAGACTTGCACTGTGGCCCATCCCACATTAAAGATGCTAGCAGCTACACTGTAATATACGAGCATTACAGTTCGACTGGGTGAGGCTGAAAACCAGCGTGGAACACAAGCTCCGAAGACGAAAAAGAAGCAGAGAATGACTAACACTGAACCAATAGCTAGCCACAATTTGCGACGACCTAAGCCAAGCCATGGTAGACCTGACGACTTGTCTGAGAAGACTCCGACCAATGGAGTAGCGAGACCATCGGCGATCTGACCACAGAACATCACGATAGCTGAGTCTACCGGTGACATTCCCACAGCATGTAATAGAAATACGAGAAGATATGAGAACCATGTGGATGCACACATGTCGTTAAGCACATGACCGACGCCATAAGCGAGGTAGCGCATCGGTGTCCACTTAATGTTGGTCATGATATCAAGAGAGAGAAGAGCGTGTGCCGTTGTGGATATATAGTCCACATGTATGGTACATGTACATGAAAGATAATTTTGGATCCTATAAGTAGTTTGTATCCTTTTTCGTCCACCGCAAAGGCTTTAATAAAATTGTTCTCGGTGGGTTAGCTCTTCTCCATGGTTTCTGTAAACAAAAGAAAATTCTTTATGCCTACCTCATTAACATTTATTCTTTCTCGACTCGTCTGATGCATTGGTCCAAGGAAACGGCTACAATTTCTTCTGTTTTGCTGGATATTACACATCGCAACCGTGTTCTAGTGAACATACACACAGTAAACATCAGGCCTTCTTAAATGTGGCATATACCTATGTTGAAAAAAGCCGATTAGAATTGGTAAAGTTGGCAATTGTATCAAAATGTCCTACGTCAAACTACTTTGCTTGCATCACTTCCTCAAGTGATAAGTTATTACGATACTGAGAAATCAGACCCGACAGATGAATTTGGAGAAATAGAAGCAAAGTAACCTGCAAACGATTGCAATATGCTAAGCGACCTTTCGTGATTGCCCAGCCATTTTTCAAGTTTGTCGCCTGTCGATACTCTGAATATAAGGATCGATCGTATTCATAAGTGAGGTGTAGCACAGCATGTTCAGCCTTTAGCTTCGATACTGCAGAGCGCCCCCAAACGATTTCCAACTGTGTGCGATGCTCTAGCAATACCGTACCGAGATGCAGGCCACGGATTCGGCAAAGCTGGTGAGACAGTAACTCGGATGCCTCGTTTGAATCAGGTTGGCTGCAGAATGGTGAACGGGAAAAGACTTCATCAATGAACCTCGATTTAGGTCAGATTTACCAACATCTGAACTAGTCTCCGGATTTCAGCACTCTAATTAATACACTGGCCTGCAAAGCTTTAATTCTGATTTTGATGTGATACACGAACGCCGAAATAGCTGAAATTGCAAGCCAATACCAAGACGGAGCTAGCTATTGTGATGAAGCTAAACACGAGACACACTCGATGTGTTGAAGAAACCAAAGTCAACGAAAATGCAACGACCTTCTTAAATTCTAAATATTTCTTAGTAAGCTGCAGGTTGATTGCAACAATATTCGCTGTAAGCCAGTCATTCCTAGCTCTTTGCGTACCTTGACAGACCAAATTATATGCCGAAATGAGAGCTTGTTAAAAATATTGTATGAAGTCCTTGATATCCAATAATCGTACCATACTTAAAGGACGAAAGTGATCGATCTTGGCAAAATCCCAATTTGATTATTGGAATTTGGTTAAGCCACGTAGACATTTCTTAAGGTATCTTTATCAACAGTAAGTTGATAGGATCCTTCAAATAATCATGCATTATGTTGACGAAAGAAAATTTATTTACACCAAACAGATTATTTCCTTCGGCGTCAAGACTGTTACAAATTTTCCACTGGAATTTGTGCTGGTCTGTATGATGCTTAAGCTCATGCTCTAGGCGAAATGATTCTTATCTCTTCAAATTCACCGCTTCTCACCAACGACAGCCACCTGCAACCAAAAAAGGTATAATCTTAGCAGCAAACAGAAAGGATACGCTGGGGAACTTCGTCGACTTGCGTTAATTTAGACCATAGTGGAGCGGATACTTATTTTGGAAAGAAGTTCGACTCCGTCGGCAACATGGGATTGACTAGTAATCACTAAATTAATAGAAACCACATTCAAGAATTATAGATTATCATCGATTTTTTTGGAATTAATATTGGTAGCTTCGTATTTATATATAGAACACATGGACCTTACACAATTGCCATTAGTCTCCCTCGTGCTTAAAGATAAGCTCAGGAGTACAGAGAACGGCTGTAGTGACTTTCCGAGTCTTGACCCAACACCCTCGGCATCTTAATTTTGTACATCCTAGCTCTCAGGTTTGACATCGTGCACGCTGCGCATGACGCTTAATCTTATTTCAGATGAAGACACTGATCTTATGACGAAGTGATGTCTGCGAACTGTATAGTATTGACAGCTCATCCAAAGGACCAATTGCACTTCAGGGCGGTGTCAAATGATCACGGGGATTGTTCATGAAAAATGGGTAGGAGTCTGTATAGACATGGGCATATGTTGTTCAACGCAGACTTCACGCGCAAGTGCTCTGGAGATAGATATCGTCACGTGATAGACGCGATCCGTCTGGCTATCTTTATGCGCATAGTCAGTAGCTGTCATGTTCAATTTGTTGCCTAGCTCTTCTGAACAATGTTTGCCAAGACTTGTCGTAAATTGCAAATCCAAATCCCATATATTGGCACATCAATAGTCATGCTGATAACAGCGAGATGGACCATTTTGTCCAAAGGGTCTACAAAGACCACAGTGCCAATATTACCGGATTCACCTTTCTTAAGACCAAACAAATAAGTCTATACAGACCGACTATCAACATTTTAGCAAAACCGCCAGGCTGATCAAAGGCGTTAAGATCATTAGCCCGTTGGCACGTTTCACACGTGCGATCATATGGGCTTACCCACATATACATGTTGGGCCACCAGTACATTATCTCGAGTATAATGTATTCTCTACTCCAAGTCGGCTGCGCAGAGTAACGCATTCTTGCTCGCTGAATACTCCAGCCATCTCACCAAGAACTCATTTAGACCGCGGCTGTTCCTCTCCAGCACCGCGTTCTCGAGAACCTCATCTCGATGTACAACTAAACGTTGCGGATCAAGTAGGACGGTCCTGTGATACTACAAGCCTTAAATTAGAATCAACGAGGCAAAAGCTTCGATAATTGACAGAGAACTTGCAAGCTTTCCACCAAAAATCTTTTCAGCAGTGCAGCACATGTTGCGTCTGAACCAGACGCTGTACGATTTGCCTTTGCAATTGGCAACGTCACTTTTGTGACGAGCGATGCATAAGTGCATCCGCCACCACATTAAGTCAGACATGGCGACTGCGTCACTGCGTACAACGACGCGATATCTGCATGGATCAGAATGGATTAAAGCCAAAACGTTTTCTTACTAAAATCGACAGGATCATTCTTCAGTGCAATTAACTTTTTGTCTTATCTGGGCGATATATATTTACTCAAGACGAAGATACTAATACGCAATTACCAATGCAGGTTCTTTGACGTCTGCGTCGAGTCAAGTTTCAGAAAAACGATGAATTGCCAGAGACTACATTGAATGGCCGATCTGGATCGGAATAACCGGATTTGCGCCAAATGTGAGGCTTTCTATCACAACATTCAAATCATCACATCTGCGGCAGTCTTCAGCATTATTTGACTTCATTTTTACCGAGACTGGTGAGGGCCCGTGCCATATCAGTATACTTGTGCTAGTTGGTGGTCACGACAAGCTACTTCATCAAATCTCTCTATAGTAGAGGTACTAAAAATCCTACGATAGCCTTCGAATTTCGAGATTGCTTCGCTTGATATGCTTTTCCGTGAAAGCTTCAGAACAGGGAGTTTTGAGGGTACCGAAACTACACTTGACTACGTTGGCAGCCAGTGAAGCGCATATGCTCAAGTAATTGTATTCCGACTTTCTACACATCACATCCAACCCCGTGTACAATGTATTACTGTATCGTTAAAGACGTTTGTGCATTAGCACAATACAGTCGATATAGCTGCATCACCAGCCGGCGATACGACTGGTATTGCTGGTGTGTCAGACAGACTTTATGGTATAGACAGTCATCCCCCGAATCACCCCACTCGAATTACTCAACGCAGAGAGGGGTATTGCTGCCCTGCATGAGAAATTGATAGATCCGTCAGCTAAGCGAAAGGCCATCAACATGTTGCAATTGATCATACTCGTCTGTGCTCCCACCGACGGGCGTTGGGGCATCCTTGGAAATGTCTCAACACTGCATACTTCAAGCGAATTAGTGTCTTCAGACAAGCGATTACCACTTATATTCCGATTGGTCGGTTCCCTGAGCCCACCAGGACCAACAATAAAGATAAGTTGTCTAAACCTGTCTAGTCCTAGAGTGAAAAATTGCGCTCCATTCTCAGGTAGCTTACATTCTTTTCGTAGCAGAGTCACCAGATTGACTAAATTTGCTACTACAGTGCTCCGTGCACCTTGCACGAAGAAATCTCTGACTCTAGTGGTCTGCGTATAAAGTTAAACAATGCTTTGATCGTACCCTGCGCCCAGGAGCAGTTTCAAGAGCCTATAAAGTAATTAAATACTTATTTTGCTTTCAGGATCGAAAGTGGTATTTCATCAGTATTACGTTACTTGAAGTCAGATCATCAGCCCTATGTGCTTCAGAGAGTCTCCCACGTCTTTAATGCCTTAGTACTTCGGCGCTTTGCGCAATTACACAATTTGTGGTTATTGTACAATCGTATAAAAGAATAATTATACAGAATTGTATTTGCACGTACACATCAAAACAATACGTTCCTTCAATCTTTGCAGCATCTCATGCTTTGGTAAGTTGGTCTTGTTTTGAAGCCAACTCGATGCAGAAAACTTGTTTTAAATGCATCACGAGAATTTGAAGGCCCATAACCAACAAAAGATGCACTACGGCTACCCTTCTACCAAAACCTTAACATCGACTTTTGCCTTGGACTTTGCAGGACCAAGTATGAGATGAAGCTCGAATTGGACATCTGGTTCCGTAAGGCCATAAAATAGGTGACCTCATGAGCTTTCGTCACTAAGTTCGCGAATTTCGCCCGCGCTTAGTCTCAATAGTTTGGTTCTTATGGCGGTACGGATGCATTCAGCCGCTACTTCTCTAGGCGCAAGCGTTTATTGTGTCAAATTGTGAACTGAGGGGCACAAGCGCTCTCAGTGCGACAATTGATCAAGTGTTGCACTCCTCGCTTGGACAAAACCTCTCTGCTGCGCCGAAGTGTGCGACTTCTAATGTTTCGACCTTAAATTCACGACATGATTTCGCTTGGAGCGACTGCATCAAATTTCGCTGCGAGTTTTGCGCATTAAGACGGTCAATGTTGGCTTGCTCAGTTAGCGACAGCTAATTAATAAAAATCAGTTTCCCCCGCGAGCTCCATGGCGAGATGTCGTGCCACTATCAGCCGTGGAGAACGGGCATAGAAAGCACAGCTTGTGCAGGTGCGAGGTGGAGTGTAGAGAGCACCTCGCTGTTAGAGTATTGTTGTATATTAGAATGACTCGGCCGTATGGATCTCGATAAGCACACATGGGGTGAGCAAAAACTCGATGACTCATTGTAAATGCTCTATTCAAAATACCGCTGACATCTCTCCGACCATAGATTGCGAGTCATCAACCGCGAGAAGTCCGCCTATCATGGCCACATACGCATCAAAAGATCATGTTGTAAATTATCTTTAATGCGGTTAAGACTGGCATCAGAATGAGTAAAGATCGAAACATAACTTGTTTTTAGTGATTCCCCAAGTATCTTGCTCCAAGTGTGCGGTCTTGTGATAAAAACATGATTATGACTTAAATGGAGTTTTCAGTGGAGAGGGTTTGGAGGCGTGCATGTGTTTTGCAGTGCATCTAAGTATGACATATCGTTTGTTGGCCTTTAGGTGAAGCTTAGAAACACAGAAGCCAGGAAACATGATGAAGTGTCAGGATTGTACTCAAGGTGAGAGGCGTCTATGAGACACGTGGACTGCTACCTCACACTACGCGATACAAAGTTTTAATAAGATAGATAGGAACGTTTCAAGCAAAACAAACAATCACGCATCTGTAATGAGAGTAAATTTAGTGCTATTTATTCTAGAAGCTTTCCCCGGACGTTAGCTCTTAGAGTAAAAGTTTTCTCCCTGCGAGTTGCCCAGCAAATTATTTGTAGATGGAACAACTCTTCAACCTTTTGATTCTTATTTGCACAGCTTATTATCACTTTCTTTTTTCTCATGGTTGTGCTTAGGAAGCTTGTACCCGGTTTTTTCATGACCTTGTGATGCGTGAATCGGGGACTGTTTGGTCAACGGCTCAGTGTTTAACCACTGCACCAGGGGGGAACCCCCAACCTGTTTAGCTCCGTTAAAAGTTTGTCTATTTTATAGTTTTATAGACGTTATGATTACGTAATTTTATCTAGCTGCTATATACACAATAAAGTATATACTTTTATATACACTTTAATGATAGGTGATGAAAAGAAGTTATGGGTACAATAATGGATCAGAGCGACAGCAACGTATCCGACATCAAACTCATGCTTTCTATGGAAGTTGCGATCGCAAACCGCATGAGACATCTCGGCTCTGATAAAAATCAAAAGTTAGTGGTTAGCTCGTTTTGACCGTATCTGCGAGAAACATCACTTACTGCGGCGATGTTGCCGCGATAGTGCAGTAGATACTTTTGTCGACGTCCACGTAGTAATGTACGTCTTCATGTACCACACACTCGTTACGTGCATATTTAAAGTCAGAAAAAGTAAATGTACCAGATTATACAGGGTCGTTATCCCTTAGATAATGAATATACAAACGATGTTTACGATTTTGCGCCGAGTCACATCGCAAAGTTTAGCCATGGCTTCGACGTAAGTCTAAAAAAGCTTCTGACAGCAGTATCACTGTATATTTGCTTCATGCGGGTAGAGAATTGCTGTAACGGGGTAGCTCGTACCCTTGTATGAAGGGGTGGGTCACACGATATGGTGTGTCCACACAATGACGTGGGCACACCTTAACAAGAAGTTACTACGTGGCTATATTTTCAGTAGTTACGCATTTAAATTAGGTTTTACTGTCTAACTAGGAAAACCTATATATTTAAGATACAGGCGGCTTTGCCGTAAATAAAACAAAGAATAACAGTTTACATTTTGAGCGGAAGAGTTTATTTGCCTTGAATTAAGGTTGTGGTTACTGTTGTAGATAGCCGATTGCGATCCGCTACACTCGTACAGGTTCTAGTAAAGAACGTAAGGTCATCGACCTTGGCTTAGCTTCCTCTAAGCGAAAGAGCTACGGCAGCCCGCTGCAGTTGCAATTCGTGTTAATTAATTTGAAGGATGCACTGTAACAAGAATGAGAAAATGGACTGATATTTGTGCTTTCTGATAGCCTGATTGTAGCCTCATCACAGAGTTGCTATATACACTTCAGCCATCATCTTAGAGCCCGAATACTGTTCCCATAAATCTAGTAAGCACTCTTAGATTGTTGAGGAAGTAAGTAAGCCTTTGGTATGAGAAAACAAAGCGAACAGCAGCTAATGTTCACATTTCACTTTAGTCCGATAAATCTAAAAACGACTTCTATCACGCAATGCTTGGCATATATATAACGTATACGCTGGGCGAGCGAGAGGCCGGTCGTGAAGTTAGCTATACAGTCGCGTTTGCGTGCGCATCGATTAAATACCTTCTACGAAGAATTGTTCAGTAGAAGCCCAATCCTCCTCGAGAGAAAAGGTATCAGTACTGCTTGTGTATACGTCATGACGCGCTTACCCGGCGTTGATTATCCAATGCATGTGACAGCTTCATCATAAGCAGCTGTCGCCTTAAATTGATGCGTCTAGTCGTCTGCAAAAGTCATTACACTGTTGATGCGTTATCGCAGACTACAATTTAAAAGAAAGTGTTTTATCATTAAAATAATGAATCAGTAATAACGAATGCTACAAGCACCTCTGATTGCCGTGAGATAATTGTGCTCTTATGGATGGGTATCTTTTGCAAGTCTCGTAATAGTGAAGCTTTACTGTCAATATGTGCCTATAAATTCAACTTAATGCACCCCCAGTCGTCAACCGCCTTTCACAACTTTTGTGTCACCAACATAAAGAATAGCTGCTTTGATAGTCAACAAGTGCATCTTCGCGATGCATCTTGCGAAATTTCAAGAGAAAGAGCGCTCTCGCTTGATCAAAGTCGTTGTTCTTTTTGACAAAAATGCTTTTTTCTGCTTTCAAATTGTCTGAAATGTGATGAAGAAGAGTTTTCAAAGACAGAATGCCAAGTTTGTTTTTGAAATTCACGTCACAGAAATTAAAAATACTTGACTTCATTGCTTTAGCAAGTCGAGGAATTGCGAGAAGAGCGATATGTCCAAGAACGTCTATCATATTTTCGCACTTGATCTCCAACGGGTACGATTTTAAGCTCCGGCAATAGATAGCAGCTATTGATTCTTTTTTTACAAGCTGAAATTCGGGATATTCTTCTTTTTGATCTTGCCTTCTGCGACAATGATGCATAAATAATCTGCACACCTCAGTCGAGGTAATGGGTACAGTTGTCGGGATCACCTCACGAAGAAAGCGCTGAAACTCTTGATAACCCAAGACGCTGCGTCGATGAGCAAACCCAACGTCCAAGCTGTACGACGTAGCAAGACATTGAATCGTTTTCGAAAACTGTTGAGCGATCAATTTTACTTTATTTGATTCCAAAATCTCATCCATTTGATCCCACGACAAGGATTCAGAGCCAGGAGCAAGCTGATCTTTTGCATAAAATGGTATGATGAAATCAATCACAAGGTTTTCAAATGACTGCTCCTTCGTTGCCGTATCTGGATGCATGAAAAACGCAACATCCATCAGTGCATCCAAGAACTCATCAAAATTGATACCAGCACTTGCATTTCCATTATTATTGACATTCGACTGAGCGGCTTGAAAAGCCAAAGCCACGCGTTGATCAAAAACCAGTTTCTTTTCTTGCTGAAAAATCGTTCTTGCGGTACTTTTCTGCAAGAGTATCTTGAACTGGTAACTAGTTATTCGGAGTGAGCACCTTTGACGATTTTGCAAAGCATGAAACACGAAGAGATTGAAGAGCTGGTCATACATTCGAAAATATTCCGACGTTTTCATGGCTTTTCTTATTGCACTTGGTGGTTGACATTCATTTTGCCTAAGCTGCAACGTTGCAGGGTGAAAATGCGCGAGCTCAAGCACTTTATTGTCTTGAAGAACATTGCCAAGTTCGTCACAAAGATCATATTTGAAAGGATCACATTGCCAATATCGACTCACGTCGTCCTTGAGTTGATTTACCAGATAGTCAAACGGGATCCATCCAATAAATTCTTGCTTTGTTTCAGATTTTGTACCATTGTCTATGCGTTTAGATGTATCGACTTTCTTCGGGACGACGACTACACGCACTTTTCTCATGCTTAAATGCGGCATGCAAAGATTAACCCGAAACTATCTATTTTTTACTGCATAAGATGAAACTGATAGTACTGCGATTTTGTCTCAACTATCTTGTTATTGTGAGAATTTTCTAGCTTACATTGGACATTTGAGTGTAATGGTTAGCACTCTGCCGGCGATCTGGGCTCCCTTCGAGAGATGCGACCTTTGAATTCGCTTCTGATCAAAGCACGATGGTTGCCGCTTTTACGGTGCATCAATATGTTAAGAAAAAAGGCTATAAAACTTGAGCTGATCTAACGTACATTAATAATTAGAGTGAGCGAGCTTTTGCCCGTTGCTCTTGCGCGATTCTTCGTTGCAACTCATCACTCAGAGAATGATATTGATCGCTACCATATTGTTCGAATTCAGACGTGTGGCTAGGATAGTCTCGATGATATTCAGAATTGTGATCGGGATACTTTCTATCCTTGTATTTCATATACCGTGAGCTAACCGAATCATACTTTAAAGTCCACGGGTTCACATTAGCTGGTTTCTTCCATTTGAGAAATACTTGAGCTCCGACAACTGCGATAACAATTACAATGCCAGGGAGATATAGTGTCCACTGGTAATCAAGCGTATCTCGTTCCTTTGGAAGAAGGCTGTAATATATAGTTAACATGTCTTGTCCTTCTTTATTTCTGCTGATGATAGTGAGGTAAGAGCCCGAATTTTCTTCGGAATACATCATTCTTGGAAACTTGTTTAAGTCACCCTGGGTCATATATAGCGGCTTGCGAAGGCGAATTGAGCACAATTGCACAAGCGAAATACCATTTTGAAGGATTCTAGAAATATTAAACACAACGATCTCGTCCTTCTCAGCTGCGATGACATAGGCTTCGGTCGTTACAAGCAAAACAGGAGCCTTGTATTCTGTGCTTTTTGTCACAAAAGATCGAGAGAGTAGTCGGCAAGCCAGTACTTCAGAAGTTGTACCAGCTATAGCGTAGACCAGAATCTCTCCTCGTTGAGTACCTACGTATATAATGTCTGGCTGCAATACATCAAAAGCTATGGACTCCACATTCGCTGATGATCCTGGACAAGTGTAGAAGACTGGGCTATGAGCGCGTGTTAAAATAGTAATCACAACGTTGGCCATATCGCTGAACGCTAAGCGATTTCTGTTTATCTCTACTACGGATATTGATGCATTTGTCTGGAACTTGTGCAAACTGGTCCCATTTAACGCTCGAAAGTCAATCGTTCCGTCAATTTGTGCAACCGCTAAAATTAGTTGACGGGAAGATCGGGTGATCGATAATCCAGATACTTTATATGGCAATTGATAATTACGAAATCTACTGACACTTAACAAGAATTCAGGCTCACCCGCATATGTAACCATTGGCTCTTGATTATCACCAACACTTCCGTTCTTATCAGTGAGCTGAAGCTCGTAGATACCAATTTCTGAAGTCTCAAATGTCACAACAAGACACGGCTGGTCATCCTGCCATTCAAGGAATATTTGCTCAACCATTCGCATTTTTGTATCCAGTCGCACCATCTCCTTCATGCGCGACGTATAAAACACAATGAAACCATTTTTGTACGCAAGTGCAATCAAGTGCATTGTACCCATGACTGTACTTGTCATACCAATCACTTCTGTCTCCATAGTGATCGACGCTTTCTCGACAAAATATGTATCAAATGTTGATACTGCTTCAGTCTCTCCAATCACATCATTCAACTTTTGCTCAATAAATTCCACGACATTTGCACTCTCTTTTTTCAACTCCTCTACATCTTGATGTAGTTGCGCTTCTTGCTCGTGCAGCCAGAGACTACGCATTTTCTGCAATACCTGAAGCTTCTTTTCTTGGAGTTTGATCATCTGGTCGACAGTCGCCAGTTCTCGCTGCAGCATTGTTATCACTGAATCTTCGTTAGATTTAACGACATCATCAATCTTTATGTTCTCACGAACGCGTTTAAGGTCGAAATCAGTTTCTTCACTAACATGCACTCGAGAATCAACACTATCAGCGACCCGATTGTCGACAGCTACAAATCCATCAGTATCCAGCACGATCTCAATGTCGCTTCCTCCATATACGAAAGAACAATAGAATACTCCGTAGAGCCCAATAAGCAGATGAACACTGACAAGCATAGCGTCGTTTGAAGATAATAAATGCGCCAGATTTGAGAATATTGGCTCTTCTTAAAAATATAACGTTTAAATGACAAATGTTTCTAAATGATCTGCGACTTGTCGTGATTTTGTAGTGTAATTATCGCTTATATATAGATGCCACCTTAAGAATGCTTTTGAGGCTCTTTTTATTGATGTCAATTTCGAGAGAGGCATGTCGAGTGGTTTGTATTTCTGACAAAAAAGACATCGTGTAAATGTGCTTCGGCTGGCAAAATTTCATCAAGATGAAATGCCAAAGCGCACATTAACATGTATAGCGTATCGGGTGCAGCTACCTTGTGTAACACTATTTATCAATTCAGAGTGGTCGGAAAAAAGAACCCACCCCACACAATGCGCTAAGTAGATCCGTTCAAGCTAGCTTATTTTGCTTATTTACAGTACTTGAGAATAAAAGACCCGTCCTGTGTTGATGGCATTTAATGACACAAGCTTTTATCCTACTGGAGCATTGGCATCACGTGAACCGCCTCTGCAAGAAAACAGGGACGCTGTTGGCATGGGCATAGATCCGCGACACCTTCGGTAGGGTATAGTTGACAATGATATTGTTAGAGTACACCAGACAATGATATTATTGAGAGCCTTGAAAATCGAATTGAAGGTGAGCTGCGGTTTCTCAGTTAAGCTTGAAACGACGACTGACTCCGAGAGAGTCAGATGTGAGCGTGCTTTCAGAGAAAATTGCTGTTTGCTAGATTTTTCAGTGAGTAAGTTATTGAGCGACTGTGTCTTGCGGTATTTATGCCTGGGAGCCAAATTCGAGCAGATATTTAAAGAATAGTTCATACTTGACGTGGTGTGACATATAACTGAGCCAGCGACACCGTGTGCAGCAATGAATTCTATTGGATTCGTGGCGCAAAAAGGTTCTTACTCGTAGTTGGTATATAGGAGTACACCCTATAATGTAGGCGAGTCGCTGGATTTGACGTCTTTCCGTGAGGTTATGAGTGCAAGTAATTGCCGGGGGGATTACCGAGCTCATGGTAGTACTGGAGGAGAAATCCAGCGCATCTACCGTCATGTAATAAATTTATTGAAATCCCTCGCAAAGTATTGAACTGCGAAGAGTGGATCGGAAAATCCTCGATCAATCAACGAGTATCTTCTATATATAATTAGTTGAGGGTATACGACAGCGTGGTGACAGGAAACATGCCAGGAGCGCGCCCTCGCATCGGGGTGTGCGTAATTATATTTGACAATTATTTTTGCCACGCATCAATGGCCATTACCAAGGGAACAGTGTGGTGTTATAGACACTGTCTCCCGAAGCAAAAAGAAAATTTGGTGAGACATAGGTACATATTAACACTCTGTGTCAGGAAGGCAAACGAGATGTGGCGAATTACACATACTATATACAACATATATTCCGGCGCAAACGTTAACGCATAAAGAAAAGTGCTGCGGAACATTATGGTCACTTGAACCTTGGACATACCCCTTTCATTGCAGCGAGTATTTTAAGCGAGATGCCGTAAAGGGACTATATTTGCTTTATGGACTGTCTTACGTACCAGCAAAGTTTAGTCGTCTCATGACGCATGCTTAAATCACATTTGCTAAAAAGTGAGGACCGCGCTGCTCAAACCTACCTCTCGTACTGTAAGAATGACGAGAAAGGGTGCGTCAGGTTGCAAAGATTTACAGCGCTACGACAATCTTGCAGCGGCAAGATCTCAATTCGGTGACTCATCCAACACTTTCACGTAAAAAGTTTTCAATCACTCCTGTGGTAGACCAACCGTCTCACTATCCAATCAGCACTTGATAGCAGCTAATTTTTGTCTCAGCGGATTAATTCTCCACAACAGAAGATGGTTAAAACGGTGTCGTCTTCAACAGAACGCTTTGCAGCCAATAGGCTCGTGAAAGCGGGGTCGCTGTACAAGTTGAAATGTATCGACATTCCAATATCGATGGAATAAGGGGCCCAATCCGAGTATATAGATGATATTGTAAATCGCATGTAGATGTTTTTACCATGCTGTATATACCATACACATGTTTTGGGACCATTTCGTTCGCGGTCACTTTACGGAAGTGATTCTGAGCAAATTCATTTTATGTAATTACGCGTTAGATTATTTCATGTCTCTCGCGATCTGAAGTGGAAATACATTACTTAGGGCCACTAAGGCAATCACACTTTGAACAAAGTTTGCCGAAACTTAGGTGTAAGGTGCGGAGCTCTATCTGACTAAATGATCACCGACAAGCTATGCTAGCCGATCCTCTATGTCATGGTGAGCAGCGGGCGGAGTCATCGTACTCAATTAATTTACAAACGACAGCAATGCCAATATTACCAGTGCAGCTTGCGGAAGTCACAATATAAAGTCCACACACAGGGAGAGTCATACAGAATTCTGTGCTATAGAACCTCATCGTGAAGTACCACGGATTAAAGCGTTTCGATTAAATTAAAACTTCAATCTTGCAAACATTGGGACAAAAAAACAGCGCTACTGAACGCTTTAGCAGTGTTACAAATGTTGTGCCTGGCTCGTGTGCCGTCATATCCCGAATCGCCTCTTCGAAGCGAAACGTCGGCACTCTGAAGTGCGACAGTTAATCATTTGGGCGATGAAGGCCACATTCGCCATCACGTTATGTCAGCCTAGCTTATGCAAACCTCGAAGGCACACTCAGCCAGAAATGATAATAACCTTGCTATACTTTGTGAGATACATGGCGATGATGTCGCCGTGCGCAAAGCCGCATGACCTTGATAGATCACAAACTGCTTCAAGCCTAGCAAGAATGCCGTCACTTAACGGGTACACACTTGTAGTAGTTCCATATCACGAGCTGGCTGACTTTTATCTGTTGCATTAATTTGGCCAAGTTAAAATTCAATAACACGCTCTTCGCAGCTGGGCTGCCGTGGCTCTTTCGCTTAGAGGAAGCTAAGCTAAGGTCGATGACCTTACATCTATATTTGAGCCGGTTCGAGTGTGGCGGGCAGCAATCCGCTTACTCCAAGAGTAACCACAGCCTGAACTCAAGGCAAAATAGATATTTCATCCAAAATGCAAACTGTATTTCTTCGATTGATTTGCGGCAAAGCCGCATATATCTGAATCTTTAGGTTTCCCTAAGAAAATAGTAAGGCTTCTAAAATGCATGACTACTGTAACTCCATTTTGTGGTCAAATCATCGTGTGACCCTATCATACTAGGGTACGTGTAACTCCGTTACAATCTTCCCCGTCAAAATTGGGAGCACCCGCAATTGACATTGAACTGTCGCCTCGTACGAGGCTCGCGTGTCTAAGACACCTCTACGCCTCCTGGACCTTCTGCACGCATTCTCTGCTCGATGAGCCCTGTGTCTAGGACACAAAAGACGCTCAAGTTTAATGGTAGCAAGAGCGCCTGCGGACAGACCCCTTCTTCATCTTCTGCACGCGGTGCAAATTTGGACAGCACGTCTGCGGCTTCAAGGGAAGCGCATTACAAACCCTCGGCAACCAAGCACCGCGCACCGCGCCCACCACGGGCGACGGATTATCTCTTTTAGGATTCGGAGGAAGTCGACCACGAGTCGGATACTCCTTTCCGAATATGTAAAGAAGAGGAGGGTGAGGTGCGCCAGCGGCGCGACGTGAACCCGCTCGAACTTTGCGGACACCGTGACCCTCTCGACTTCCGGAGGAAGTGGCATAATTACCAATCGCTTCGACGAGGCACAGAAGCAGCACATGAAGACTGCCCGCATGGCGGCAATCATGCGCTAGCATCCACAGTCGGTCCTAGATCCTCGTTTGGAATATGGCTTTCGCTCGGTGGACCCCGCTGCAAAAAGGGAGGACGCGATCTATCAATTGTTGGGCGTCAACTTGGTGAATCCCCCGGCCACTACACAAGATGAGCTTGACCAACGAAGAGCTATCCGAGCTCGCATTTTGGCATCTCACGAAATCCCGCTGGATACCTACCGCGCTCGACTTCGAGCTCGAAGAGGAGGCGCTCCTGTACCCGCGATGCAGACGATTTCGGTGTCACTCACCCCTAGCAAAACCGCTGCAGATGATGAAGAGCTCTTTGAGCGATGGGTGCAACGGCACCGAAAACTTTGCTCGGCTTCCAGCATACAGCGGAGCCACAAGGAGGCGGACGAACGCGTGAAACGCCATCTTCGGTTCGTGTTTGCCAAACTCAAGGCGCATCGCCGACTATCTTCGTATTGTGGTCGTGCGACATATGTAATAATCCATCATGCTCCCTCGAGCTCTGTAGTCTCTCACACAAAAGCGTCTGCGACCACAGGAGCGTACGACGACGCGAAACGTCATTATCCCTCTTATCATAAGCGCCCACGACGTCTGGGTAATCTTGCCGAAGTGACACCTCAAACTCCTACGAGTTCTAAGAGTATGGGTATCCCCGCCATTTCACAAGATTTGAGTCCGACCCTGTCGACGACGTCGACCCACAAGGCGTTCCACGTAGTAGTGGACGCACCATTGTCAGCGAGAAAAGTCGGCGACGGACAATGACGACTTAGTCGATCACCCCCCGATGACTCGCGATGCTCTTCGAGCGTTGGTGGACAACGTCCATCGTCATCGGCACTTTGTCGTGCATCTTTCCGAGGTTGCCTTCTGCTGTAAGGGAAGGCCTCGAGAGCCTGGAGCACTTTATGCACCGACAGTCTCACATTTAGGATTATCGCGTTCCTTCGGAGCGGCTCCTAGCCGTCGAGCAAACGAATACGTCACTTCGTGCTACGGTGAAGCGCGTGGTACCGTTACAGATGGAAATTGTTGCACTTCGTGCTCAGAATCAGTTGCTGTTTCAGCTTCTGGGTGGTCGAGCATCTGTGGGCGCCGCTCCGGTGCCAATGCTTCCACGTCCACTTGCGCTGGATCCAGGTATGGCTTGAGCAAGCCCACATAAATTATCGGGGGACGTCCATCCGTTTCGGAAAGTTTGACGGATACAAAAGGGCCCGCTTGGCCACGACCATAGAAAATCGATAAACCGTGGACAGAGCTTCGACTCAAATGCAACATAAACTACATGTGAAGGAAGGTTTATCGCCTTAAAAAAATTCTCAGAATCTTTAACATTTCCTTTACCTTTTCCGTCTGCATATTCTTTCTGCATGTCTTGACCTTCAGCCATCACATCGCGAACATGTCGCAAGACTATCAGACTGGTAGACAGGAAGTCATCGACTCCCTTACTCACGGTGAGAGGGCTGACATCAGCTAGCCGATCGGCTATTACCCTCCCACCAATCTCTAAACCATGGGATGGCGGCGTCAGCGGGACCCGAGTAGAACAGCGTGTAGCCGGTAGATGAACGCACTGCATTGTCCAGAGCAAACTCTACGAGTTGCATCATTTGCTCCAGCGCTTGGCGTCTCAGCGCAGACACTGCGAAGAACATCTCCAACGACATGATGCACGCGCTCAATTTGACCATCGTTCTGCGGATGGTCCGCTATTGACATATCCAGCTTGTTGCCCAGCACCTTGGAGATTGTCGACCAGACGTTTCCAGCGAAACTTTGGTCTCTATCAGAGACAATTGACTTCGGGATTCCGTGCTGTCGAAAGACACGATCCATAAGCAGCGCCGCTATACCGACATTACCGGCATGAATTAACTTCTCAAACGGTCGACGAGGATCACGACACTCGTGTTGCCCATCGAGTCCTTCGGCAGGCAGAACACAAAGTCCAAACTCATGGATTTCCAACACCTGGAGGGTACCGGCAAACTGGCCAGCGGCGCTGCCGCGTTCGAAGAGGGCTTCACCTTTGACACGTATCATTTGTGCGCACATAAGAGCTCGTCCATTTGTACAGCTTGAGCCACCAGTAGTGGCAACTTACAGAGCAGATCTTCTCATGACAGAGATGACCACTAAACGGGATGTCGTTAGCCTGAAAGAGGATACAGTACTCCAAATCGTTCTCGCGGGGAACCACAATTCGTGGCGTATCCGTCGAATCAGTGTTATCATACAGCAACCCGTTATATAAAGAATATCGGTGCAACCGTGCGCGCAGTCGCGACGAAATCTTGATGTCTGAGACCCATACTTCTTGTTCCTGAGAGCCCGTAGCGGCGTTACGCACATATCATACCCGCGTCCTCGGCGCGGATCAAATCTGTCACGGACGACGTCACCGTAATGACATCGCCAGCTCATAATCTAGTCTGCGTGACAACGCATCAGCCAGAGCATTCTGCTTTCCTGGCTTATACTTCATTTTGAAGTTATACTTCGCGAAGAAGGATAGCCATCTAGCCATCGTCTGTGAGTGGTGGGGCGATTGAGTCGCAGTGCGTAGTGACGCGTGATCTGTGTAGATCACAAGCGGCTTGAAGCCGAGCAGGTGGACCCTGAACTTGACAAGTGCATACATCATCGCAAGTAGCTCCTTGTCATGAACTGGGTAGTTCTTCTCTGCAGCTTAGAGCTGTCGAGATTCGAACGCGATCACCCGATCTCACCCCTCGGCGTTTACTTGCAGCAGCGCACAGCCGATGGCAAAGTCCGAAGCGTCACAGACGACGCTGAAAGGACGATCGCGATCTGGCAGTGCCAGTATTGGCGCATGCAGGGA